AAGCCCTAGCCAGCTAGCCCAGAAGCCCTAGCCAGCTAGCCCAGAAGCCCTAGCCAGCTACTTTCTTAGCCCAGACCCACTCGCGCAGCACGGACCCGCCCACGCTGCACAGACTCGCTCGCGTCGCACAGACTCGCCCGCGCAGCTCAGACGGACAACCCCCCAGCCAATGAACCTGGTTACAATTTGGCTAAAATTTTTTTTCGGGCTTTGAGAAAACCCCGACCGACAGACACCACAACACACCCGCGCCAGCTGATCTGGCTGCCGGGGGGCAATAACCGATCCGACACAAAAGACCCTCGAAAGACCTCACCGAGCGAACCCGTGCCACCAGAATGCAACAGCAGGCACCCGCGAGCCCAGCGCATGCACCTGGGCCAGCCTCCAGCAAGCGGCCCCACACACTTCGAGGCAGACACCTCAAGGAGAGGCCCGGCACAAAGAGCCGACACCACACCAGCCCCCGGCCGAGGCTCACCGACGCGGACGCCAAGGCCATACTCCGCGGAGACAGTGAACTGCGACCCCGGCGCCCACTCCAGAACAATCACGCGACCCGGCCCACGCAACCCGACTGGCGTGGACGTTAAAGCCCCACCCCGGGCCAGCATTGCTCGACGCGAGGCCGCAACGTCCACACGCGCGCCACCCATCCAACCCCGCAGAGCTTGCGCGAGCCTTCGAGCCCTGCCAGCAGAACTGAACGCGGCGGGTGCGTCAGGTGCGATCCACATCCAGTCTCTCTGCGTTACGACTGCGCGGTCCGAAGGCCGGCTTCCCAAGACCCCGCAAGACCCGGCTAACGGCTAAAAAACCGGCTAGCGGTGACGGTTAGAAAACAGCTAAAGTCTGCAGGTACGTAAGTAGTACCAGGCTAAAGCTGACGGCTAAAAAGTAAGGCGCCGACTCTGGGAACGGTTAAGAATGTCGGCGGCACGTCCTTCCAAAACTCAGCGGGAGTGCTCTAAACCGACCCCAAAAGCAAAAGCGCACGACTTCTAGGCGAAATCACACGAGAAAAAGGCCAAAAAGTTTGGCCGTTTTGTAGCCGTTTTTTTCCAACCCGCGAAAGACTGGAGAAACTTTAGCCGTTTTCTTAACCGTTTTGCAACCGTCGACCGGGACCCCACCCCCCAAGCCCAGACACGACCCCTACCAAGTCCCCCCATCCCTTCAGGTGCGAGGCCCAGCACTTCCGCGCGAGCTGTTGCGCCGATGAATCGTCAAGCCCCGGGGCCGTGGCTCAGTGTGGGCACCCAATGGTAGAGACAGTCCTCCAAATGCCCCCGGCCCCTCCTCCACAGGGGAGCGGGCGGGGCAAGACGACCAAGCAAAAGAAGACAAACACAAACAAGCCCAACCCACTGAAAAGCAGCACGAAAACACCCAGGAGGAGGAGACCAGAAGCATCACACCCGAAGACCGACCGCCCATCGTCACCCTGAAAAACTTCAGCAATGCACCCCCCCCAACCGAGACCCCTAAGACATGCACCCCCGAGCCGAGCCACTCAGCCAAAGTATACAAAGCCGGAACCGATCGAAAAAAACGACCGAAAAAGCCCAGGGGCTTTTTCGGTCGTCGCTTTTGATCCGCTGCCGCAGGCTTCACGATCCGCGCAAACTCTGGAGAGTACCAGAAAAAGAACACACTCAAAAGCGCCCCCCTTGTCGCTCGCAAATATACCAACAAAACAACAAGAGAAAAGCAGAAAAACCCCAGAAACGAAACAGACACCCAACCGCCCAAGGCAGGCGCCCCGCGATCCCAAAAAGCCGACTTTTTTAGCCAGTTTTTAACGCCATTGATTGGCGGCCGGGTGCCCGTCCGCCTGACGCAGCACAGACTGGCGCGCGCAGCGCAGACTCGACCGCGCAGCGCAGACCCACTGCTCGCGCAGCGCAGAACCGCTCGCGCGGCGCAGACTCGCTCGCGCAGCGCAGAGGACTCGCTCGCGCAGCGCAGAAGACTCACTCGCGCAGCGCAGAGAACTCACTCGCGCAGCGCAGCGGACTCGCTCGCACAGCGCAGACGCGCTCGCACAGCGCAGACGCGCTCGCGCAGCGCAGAGCCGCCCGCCCAGCGCAGACTCGCTCGCGCGGCGCAGACTCGCTCGCGCAGCGCAGACTCGCTCGCGCAGCGCAGACCCACTCGCGCAACGCAGACCCGCACGCGCAGCGCAGACCCGCCCACGCAGCGCACGCAGAAGACCCGCCCGCGCGGCGCAGACTCACTCACGCAACGCAGACGAGGCACACTCACGCAGCGCAGAGGCAGACCCACCCACGCAACACAGACGCTCGCGCAACGGAGACTCACTCGCGCAGCCAGCGCAGCGCAGTCTCGTCCACGCAACGCCGACTCACTGGCTGCTCGCGCCGCCCAGACTCACCCGCGCAGCGCAGACAAACTAGCCCACGCCGCGCCCGTCGACTCGCTCGCGCAGCCTAGATTCGCTCGCGCAGCGCAGAATCGCTCGCACACGCGACGCGTTGCTCGTTCGTTCACGCAACGCAGACTCACCCACGCCCCGCGAAGGGACTCACACGCCCTCTCACGCAGCGCGCGCAGACTCGCTCGCCATTGAAGCACGGGCGTACTCCACTCGCTCGCGCTCCGCCGACTTCCTTGCTCGCGCAGCATCGGCACGCTCGCGCAGCGCAGAGTTTATTCATTGCGCACGCCGGGCGAGCCGACTCAGTCGCGCAGAGAGAGTAGGGTCGCCCAGTCGCGCGGGCCGGACTCGCTCGCGCAGCGCAGGCTTGCCTCGCTCTCGCTCCCGCAGCGCCGACTCACTCGCGCAGCGAAGGGAATGCAAAAAAACAGTCCGGGCATAGATTGCAAGGCAGCCACCCCTCGATCTGCGGCAAGTTTTTCTATCCCCTCGCCTCAGGTTGAACTATTGAACTAGTTCAATTAAATAGAAATGGGGCAGAGCCACCAACAAGCAGAAGACGACTAAGTAATAGCTAGCCTTCGCGATCGCACACTTGCTAAATTGTAGGTCTTTGCGCCTTCCAGTATTATGTCGTCTGTGTGCGACGCGTGTAAGTGTATGGCGTGCGCAGTGTCTGATCTCGTGAAAGTATGTCTCTAGCCAGTCACTGCCCTTCACTGACAGGGCACGGCGCTCGTCGTGGCGCCGAACTATGGATAAGACCGACACAGAGCAGCACGATACTGGAGTCCTACGATGAGTATTAATTTCTCTCGATATACATCAAAGACAGCGACTCGCAATACCCTGAAAAGTACACGCGCGAAGCTCAAGTGAGGTAGCAGCTAGTAGCCCTGGTAGTACTCGATCAGCCAACATCTTTCAGCTGTTGTCGTAAATCAATCGGCGTCTCCTGTATTATTTTGAGCACGGCGACGCCCATCTGGTGAACAGCTACCCCCATCGCGTGTAGAATAACTGCCCCGACTGACCAAGCGTCCGAGTCGATGCTTACTCCCCAATACATTGCATACCGTTCCGGGAGAGAGGTTGCCTGCTGATCCTCATTTTGCGGAAAAGAACAGTAGAACGGATCCGCGTAAGGTTGCGCAGTACAGAACTTTTGATATCTAGTACCTATTACAGGCAAAGACTCACCAAAATCGGCCAGCACTGGAGTAAGATTAGAGGTCCTTAGGCCTTTGGTGTTAGTTTGTCCCGCTAGATAAGCCTCCCTCCATTAAAAGAGGCAAAACTATCGGCAGTACAAACGCCAAAAGCTTACTTCACCTTAGTAAGAGTGCCTGCTTGATTGTTGCGCAGGAGAACATTACTCGGCCTGAGATCCTGGTGCGCCGTGCCTGTAGTCTTGTGGAAGAGGTCGACGCTTTCTATGAAACCACAAAGAAGCTCAAGGAGAGCTAGAGGGCCACGCCCGACCTCATGCCACCAAATCTGGCGTCCGCGTCGCCGCTTCTCAATCTCACCCAGGTCGCCAGCATCGTACAGCTCCTGCAACATGAGCAAATCGGTGACGTATTAGAGGCAAAGCTTTTACTTCGGGCTGCGCGTGCCTAGCTGTTGATTACGAGGTGGAAGCAAAAGAGGAAAAAGCATAACAGCAGACGCATCAAGGCCAACGCCCATGGCATTCATCCTCTGGCAGCGTCGACCTCCCCGGTTCGAATTCGATAGACGATAGCTAGCATCGCTGATAGCCCTAAAACATTGCGCAAAGTATCTTACCACGCTACGGCATTGGCCTACGCCATTGGCCTACGCTATTCATTGCCAGTCTATACGAACCACCCCACCGAGCACCGCCACAAAACTCCCCGCCCACCCCGCCGGAGATCAGTCCGCGTCTTCCTCGATGGCCTTGCCCCTAGTCTCCAGCCCCTTCCCCTGCAGCTCCGACAATCTCCGACCGCTAACCCTGCGGGAACTTACGAGAAGGCCCCCAGGCATACTCCCAAAAAAGCTGCAGCCAGAAAAATAGCCGCCGGGGCTAAGGATGCACGCCCGGAGTAGAAGCCTGACGAGAGAAGACCGACGAAAGACCTCTGCCCGACGACACGAAAGCCACCCAGCGAAAGACCGACACCAAGAGAAAGACATCTGGCGCGAGACATTCCGCAAGAGACATCTCACGCAAGACGCCCGGCAAAGGACATTTGTCGAAAAGAAAGACTTCCCACAGGAGAGAGGAGACGCTTCCCGAAAGATGCCTGGCGAAGCAAAGACTGACATCTGACGGAAGACCTGACCACCGACGCTAGGCGGAAGACGTCTGACGCAACAAGACGTCCTCAGGCGAAAGACGTCAGGCGAAATACGTCGAAGCCAACCTGGCACGCCACGTCCTCTGGGGAGAGACGCACGACGAACACGAAAAAGACGAAACACACCTGACGAAAAACAGCCGACGAAGCGCGCCGACATGATCTGGCGAAGCAAATACACCCGACGAAAGACATCTGAAAAGAGACACCTGAAAGACGAGAGCGAGACGTCTGGCGCCAGGCTGGCCGACGTCTGACAGCCGAAGGGGAGCAAGAGTAAGGCAAACACCTGACGAAACAAAGACGGCGAACGAAAGGCACCGACCTGACGCAAAGAAGACGTCCGGCGGAAGACGTCCGACAGAGAACGTCTGGCGAAAGACATCAGTCTGAGGATAGACGTCAAGAGCAAGACATACGCCCGACGGTAGGCATTTAAGGCTGTCAGTCTGACGAAAGGCACCCCTGTGACAAAAGACATCAGCCCGAAAGATGGCGCCAGCCTGACGAAAGAACTCAGTCCGGCAAAACAAAGACGCCCGCCCGACGAAAGTCAGACGCCAGCCCGACGAAACAAAGACGCACCCTGGGCGACGATCGCACTTCGTTGAAGACGAAAGACACCCGGCCACCCAAAGGCGCCCGACGAAGCAAGACGCCCTACTCCCACCAGCTGCACTTCGAGAGACCCTGTCAGCACGCCTCTGCGCTTTTTTCTTGACCCATCAGGGCGGGCCCGTCGCAGCTCTTGCCAGCCGACGCGGCCAGGCTGTATATACTTCAAGGCTCGGGGCTACGGTATCTCCCCGCCCTAACGCAAGACAAGCCCCCTACTTTGGGAGCCGTCTGCCGGGGGTGGAAGGCTTCCAGAGGGGTCACGAGAGACCCCGAGGGCCTTAGCGTGTGCCCCACAGACTGCAGCGAGCCGACCGACGCTCAAGGGTGTGCACGCTGCACTAATCCGCAATCCTCCAGGCGGCGTCATTGGAGGCCCCCGGCTCAGTCAGCATACACGCCCAAGATCTTGGAGAAAGACCTCCTTCGAAGCGCAGCACAAGACGCCTACGCTGGTGCATAGCGAGACAGAGCTGCGGGCGCTGACGGTGACAAGGTGCCCTGGTTTGCGTATGACCTCTCAGCCTCAAGCTGTGAGATTATGCAGCCGCCTATTCGCTACTCCCCTAGCAGGGGCGAGGAGCCGCGCAAGGGCAAGAACTTCGAGACGAATCAACTGCTCGACCATGGATGCCTTTGCGGACTGTCCCCAGACCAAGACGAGACGAGGGAGGCGCCGCTTTTTCCAGGTGCTGGCCGAGTTTGCCGCTCTGCCTGCAGTGTTAGCCTCGCGCTCTTCTTGCTGCGCTTGGGGTGGCCGACAGTTTCGCTTGACGCGTCACAGGAGCCGCACACTGTAAGCGGATTCGCAGGCTCGTCTTGCGATGAGAGTCCCCTGGTAGTGCTGGCGCAAGTAATGTAAGAGGCTTAGTTTGTTAGACGCACACAGCAGGCACCTTTATCGGACGCGTCCGACTGTCTTCTATGCGATGCCTTCTATGGCTGACGCGGTGGACAGCATCCGACTGACTATCAGGAGCTACGACTTGGCGACATGGCGCGCCACAAGTGCACCATGTCGCTCGACCCCTACCATCACTGGACGGCCGAGCTTGATGATGGGCAAAAGCAAGACACTGCGATCAGCAAGTTTTTACAGGCAGAACCAGCCAGACCTTCTTGGACCTTCTCCGCGGTAGACACGCCCACGCTTCACTTGGCACCGGGCGCGAGATTGGTGATCGAGCTCCCACTTCCTGGCTACCGATTGGGGCAGCGACATTTCATCAGCCTAGCAGCGGACTTCCGGGCCCGGTTCTGGCTCTTCCGTGTTGGCCAGGAGATCCCGGCGCCGATCCTTGTTCGTGTTGCGCATGAGTTCAAAGTCACGCCTGTCTCGGTCGCGAAGCAAGGCGCGAGACGGCTTCTATTGGACGAGGAAGAAAAGGCCGTGGCCGGTATCGTGGCAACCCCTGTTCCAGATTATGGCCAACATGATGCACAGGTGGCGAACTTGCAGGCGATCTTGCACGCGGGCGCAACAACTGACGACCTCCAGGCAGCTGCTAGTGATCACAGCAGGGACGATGGCGCCGCGCTCCTTCAGGGGTGGCTTGATGAGAACACAGACAAAGTCGCGGCGCTGTCAGACCGCAAAGTTGAACCCTACCTGCTTGGGCTCGAGGCGTCGCTGAGACATGTCGAACCTCGAATACTCGCAACCACGACAGCAAGCGCGCAGAAGGACCAGGACGCCGCGGCAAGGGTTGCGAAGAGCATGCGGCAAGAACAACCTCTCGCGCGCGCTGGTTACACGCCCAAAGCAGAAGACTACACACCAAACAGCCAAGCACTGACGCAGGAGGAACGCACTCAACTACAGCAGGCGCTGCAGGAAAACAAGAAGTGGCGGGACCGCCGACGCAGCCCTGGCCGCTGGTCTTTGCGCTGGTGTTTTGAGGTCGCGCAGACGTTCTGTGAGTACACAAGTGACGCCGCACTTCTCGAGGGCCCTCTGATGGCCGAGCTCGGGGCCGCCGACCTGGCTGAAGGCAGAAGCATCCACGAGAGCACTTGCTTTGCGCTTTTAGCAAGTGGCGCCTCAGGGAAGGCTTCGGCGTTTCAAGCCGATGGCCATCCTAATGAGCCGACGGAACTGATCTTGGGGATGGAGTGTCTCGACCTTTAGCTTCGAAAGCTGCAACGGTTAGCAGCTGGCTCCTTTGTTGGAGTTCATCTTCCAGCGCATGTTGGCGGAAAAAAGCGGAGTGGACTGGAGTCCGTGCAGGAGTTCTACGGCTATTTCTTGCGCGGCGTTCTCTTCTCTATCTGTTCGGTGTGCGCAGGGAGGGCGAACTGCTCAGGCTGGCACTTTTCTCACACGAGATTGGCCGAACCTGCAAGCAGTGAGCAAGATGGTCATACCCGTCGCGACGATTAGCAGCAACCCTTCTCGATTATTTGCGCGATATTCGCCCTCTTTTTCATTGCTCTAATGATATCGCTACGGCATTTAGCAAAATCCTGCTGACGCTGCAGCTATCGCAGTGGCTAGTTGGTGTTTGGGTTGGGCCTTTGGCAATGGTCTGCCGGAGAGGGGTCCTCGGATTTTCACTACTACCACTGGCGTGGCCTTTGGCAGTGTATCCGACCCTCAACTCTGTCACAGTGAGCAAGACAGCCGCGCGCCAGTTTCTTTGCGGAGAAGGTTTTAGCGGCGCAGAAGCAGGAATCGCCAATCCCCTCTCGGGGTTCCTTTGCCGACCTGCTACCTAGTGTCGAGGTGGAGGATTGACATGCGAAGGAAGTAAGCACTTGGTGAAGACTAGAAGGCACCCCCTCGCAGGCGAGTGCCCGAGGCTCGCCAATATGTAGTAGGCCCGTCGCCTGCTCGGGGGTGTTTGTGTTTAGTGGACACTAACTACTAGCGATTCGCCTCAGCTTGTCTCTCTCGTGTGTAGCTTCGTAACCGTTCAGCTCCTTCTTCACTTAAAACTTCGCCGCCATTCAGCGATCTACTTCGTCAGATTTTGTTGGAATATTGGGCGCAGTTGGCAAAAGATGCCAGATTTGCAATCTCACCCCTAGGAACCACCAAAAAAACTAACAGCGACAACCCTAGACACCAGCAGAAGCAAGAGTCTACTTTTTCAAGCCACAACTATCTTCAGCAGCCCTCTAGTACTATATAAAGAAAAGCCCAGAGCTCATTCTATTAAACAAGAAGAAAGTAAAAAGGCACCTGCTTGCATTTCCGTGCCGCTGTTTCGTTTGTGTTAACTTGAACCCACAGAGATTGTCCCCGCGTTTTTGACTTATTTAAACACAGAGCAACATACTCAACAGCTTTCCAACTTCTCCACTTGTGTGCGTGTTTTTGTGTACAGACTTAGAGCAAGCAATAACCCCGACTATTCAAGGGGATAACTACCCCCGTAGTTCGTATTTTTGGTCTCTTTCCTTGAGAGTTAACATAGATTGCCCATCATTGTTCTCAGTGCCACCTACGTGCAACGTCCTTGCACGTCTTTGCTGTTTGCTTTTGAGTATCTTGCTTGTGGTCAATGTCACTCAGCCCTGTCTCCCTGGTGTTAACTTGAACTAAGTGAGTATCTTCGCGCTGTTTCGCATAAGCTAAGCACTAGCTTGCAACTAGCTTGCAACTGGCGCCTTTGCAGCCGTCTACTTCGCAGCTTGTTCGTGTTGCCTTGAACTAGACCTAAAGTAGCTTGTCTAATCGTTTTTGCTTTGTCTAAACACGAAACGCGTCTCGAGTGAGTTTGCGCTACTACTAGTGCTTGACTTTTACCTCTGTGTTTACTTGCGTGAAAAAAGTAAGCACATCAGCAACATTTTGAAAGCACTAAACACGACCAGACAAGAACAACTTTCGAGGGGTCTACGGCAAGCACGGCAACAAGAACGAGAGACAACACAAAGTGAGAAGTTTACAAAGAAAAAAGCTATAAGTATAACTATTTTTAGTACGTTTATAACCAGGACAAGGCTACACAAAAAGCAAGCGCTTCCAGCCTATGAAAAGGCAAGAGGAGGCACCAAAGTCCTGCGTTGAGATGCAAGGGAATCCAAAAATGCGAATTTTGAACAATGTTCGGAACGTCTTAACCGCAACGAACAAGTAACATTTTTGCGCAAGAAGTAAGTAAAAGTAAGAAGGGAAAACAGTAAGAATTCCAAATGGGTGCGACCTCGATGGATCGCTCGAGCCACCCCACCTGTCTTTGCGGAGGTTTCTGTGCTGTTTGTGTTGGGATCGAGACCTTTCCAACTCGGTTTCTGCACGGCCTGAGATCTCCACCTCTGTCAATTGGAAAGCATCCATGCCTTCTAAACTCTCTCGGAGTCACGATTGCAGCTACCTCGAAAGCAAGTAGTCTCTCCTTGGTACTTGCAGGCGAATCAAAATAAAACGGCGAAAATGAGACAAGACACGAAGCGGAAGCAGGAGGTCTAGCTGTCTAGAGTCCAGGCCATAAGCATAAAGAGCGGGCTGCGCCGCGTTGTCGCTATTTAAAAAGAATTGCTTCCTCACATATGCCTCCAGCGTTTGTGCCGCCATCGGCGGGTATTTTGAAACCAGAAGCGCAGTACAAGCCTCAAACATGTGCACCTGCCTTTCGCGCTCGATGTGGTCAGCCCCTTCTTCCGGGCGCCCTTCGCTTTGATCTTCGGTTAGAAGTAAAAGCTGTAGCACAGAGTGAAAAAGCCTACGCACTTGTCACAAAACTCGCCACACTTTACACACTTGCACTAAGGACGCTCAGTAGCCCCATTGAGCCAACGATAACCACACGGGGACAGGATACCGAGGCGCCGATGCTGTTATACTTTATTACCCATAAATACCGCACGTACTTGATGGCCATTTTTCCTGGAGTTTTCGCAACCACTCCAAAGCTGCCAACCCCCAACACGTTAGCATCCATCCACTTCTTCCCTGTATCCAGACCCGACAATTTCATCGCCGTAATCTCCTTCTTGAGTTTTAAACCGGCGCCGCCTTGAGTCTGAATGTGGTTGGGGTGGTTGGGTGATTCGAGTGATGTGCGCTCCTAATCCTGAAGCGTGTCCGCCTTTCTAGCTCTATTCTTTTTCTTTGGGCGAATAGAATTAATAAACTAGACTGATCATAGGCTTTGTGCTGTGAGCCTCAAACAATGGGCGGCATTTTCCTCTAGGGTTTCAACTATGCGACTTTTTAAGACAAAAAATTGCAACGCAACCTGGGATGTGGTCAGCAAAGATCGGAGGAGGGCGAGCGCTGACTATCTACAAAGGCGCGCTCGATTGATATCGAAAACGATGCTCCCAAGTTGTCCACGGATCAGCTACAGTCTATATGTGCAGGAGCTCTAAGTCATGGCATTTGGCATTAAGGTAGACTGTTGTAGCGGATAGAGATACCCAATTTACCATGCTGCCCACGAGCTCAGCCACTGCGACGGCCCTCGCCCCTCATGCTGCTCATTGCTTTACGATAAGCCGCCAGGTCTTGCCACACGCAAGAGGGCGAAGAGAAAAAAGCGCAGAGCATTAAGAGGGGTGAATAAGTAAAAAAACAAGAATACTCCCGGCCCTGCGCTTCACCCCATGACGCCCCGACATCTAGGCCCCAGTCGCGGATTACTGGAGTGCGTACTGGAATGCTAGGGCGGGTTCTCGCAGTGAGTTAGAACCTCCGCAGTGACGGTAACAGTTCCCATAGCCAGCACCCTACACAACCGAGCATGCCCCCTCACCCCGGAAAGAACCACAATAGAATAAAGGGCCTATCCCAGAGTACAAACGGGGCAAAGGCTTAGACGATAGACCAGGTTTGAAGCTACGTTGTTACTTTGACCTTCCCACTTTTGAAAGTAGGGCCAATCACTGCGCCGCTGCAAGTGGTGCGTAGGGATATACTGGCAGTAAGGAAATAAAGCCGAGGAAAAACTAGCCAGCTATTGAGCACTAGCCGGCTACTTTTCTGCAAGTGCTTTAAGCGTCGCTGGGCCTAAGCATCTACCCTGTACAAAGGACAAAAGCCAGCCAAAACTCGAACCACAATGCAAACTACAAGGGGAAACTTTCAAAGTAGCCTGCCATGGGAGGAAGATGAAACACACACTATTCTATAATATATTATACATAGACGGAGCCTCTTCAATTTCGGCGAGAAGGTATAAGGCTAAGGTCTCTCCAATTTTAACTACAAAACGATCGACCACATGAATACAGAGACCGCGCCAGTCTCGGACCTGCTCAGCATTCAAGGCCCCCCCTCTCGACTGACACTGATGCACGCCACGCGCAAGCTTTTACTTACAGGGCGCGCTGAATTAAAAAACCGCAGTCACAGTCCATCTCAATCTCACATCTGATGCTCGCCGCCGAGAACGTTTGAGCTACCCGGTAGCGTAGTGCTGCTAGTAGTGTCAATCTAAATATATCGACGCCCCTATGTAGCTAGCCGCCCCTCAAAGCGCAAGCACTTATCAGTCAGCTTCAGTGATGCAAACTAATAGGACTTAACTCTTTGAGTAAGAGTCTTCTCTTTGCTTTGATACATACCATATACATAGTGTGCATTTGGATCAGGTCACTCTATCACCTATCTATGTATACCCTTCCTCCAGTGGTGCTGGGAATCTCTTTCGGGTTGTTTACGCATCCTACACGTGCCTCCTGGGCTGACTTTTGCACTTTCTCCTGCAGCTTCTGATCCGCGCGGTTGTTCTTCCATGCGGTGACATCACTGAGCCACTTCGACAGCGCTTCTTGTGGTATTTCCAACCGGAAAAAGTTTTGCTCAAACCACATCCCCGGTTGGCTTTGCACATCGCGGAACAAGAGGCGCGCGTTTTCCATCATCGTTTCCTTTCTGGTTCCCGTTAGCCTTTCCATCCGCTGGTATGCGACGACCGCCAGAACCGGTAGTAGGAGTAGAAGCAAATGACGCAAGAGGCCGCGAGCGCCTCGCAGCGCAGCCACCTTCGGTTTGGTCTCGTGCTCTTCCTGCTGCAGTAGTCTGAGTGGCGGCAGTCGCTTTTTAGGAAGTTGCTTTCTTCTGGTTCTGCATGAATGGCAACAGATGGAGCGCGCGCCAGTAGCGCCAGCGTTAACGATTCCCTTGCGAGTGCTGTAGAAGGAGTTGCGAGCCACTGTAGCGCCAGCGCCGAGGATCCACTTGCGAAGGTTCGTGTTGTAAGAGGAGTGAGCGGTAACTGTGGCGCCAGCGTTGACGATCCACCTGCGAGCTACTGAGACTACTACCGTTTCGCAGCGACTGGCTTCCTTCTCACGAAAGCATGTAGATTCACCCGAGGAGCTACATGGAGGCGCTGGAGGTGCAAAAGACGAAGACTCGGCGTAGTCCGTCTGCTCGTCTACTAGTCCGATGGCGTTCTTTGAAGATGAAGACGGGGCATCGTCATGGCATGCCGATTGCAGAGAAGATAACGCTGCTTCTGAAGGAGCCGGTAAAGTAGTACTAGACGGGAGCGATCTACGAGAAGTTGCGAGTCTTCTTTTATTCAGCATCTGCTTTTTCTTGCTCGCCTTGGTCTGCTGTTTCTCTATGGTCAGTTGGGGGCTTGTTTTTGTTGTGAGACGGCGCACTGCGCTGGGCGTCTCTTCCTTCATCTTATTTTCGTCCTCGCCATCGTCAGACAGAATTGCCATCGTAGAGAACAATGCTCCAAACCTGTTGCAGCAGGTCTCTCGCATTAGGCTGGTGGTGGACGAAACAGTCGAAACCCGATCCAGCGACGGGGGCGACTCCTGCTTCATCAGTCGCGAGCGCGGTGGATTCACAATCTGGAATGAAAATAAGTTAAAGTAGATTATTTTTGAAACTCCCAAACAGGTATTGAAGTTGATTTATTTGGTACTTCTAACTGTTGAAGAAACCAGCTCTAATTCGTGTTTTTCCTCGAGGTTGTGACAAAATGCGACTGCTGTAACTGCAAGATGCAGAAGTGAGAGTCACAATATGTGAACAAGTTACAACAAGGATCATCAAGACCATTGGTCCAATATTGTTTCGACTAAATAGAGTCATTGTCGTCCAATTACCTGTAACGATTGTAACGATCTACTTAGTCCACAAAAGCGCTGAACTGAAGTACCTTCAAAGCAATGCCTCGGTCTTCTCGTTCTTTCTGCACCAAAGACCGCCAGGCCTCATCCTCAAGCACAAGACCACTCCGCTCAAAGGCACCTGGACGCGCGATTTCCTCTTGAAGCAGCAGACTCAAGTGCTCCAAGTTCAGAATATTCTCCTCTATTGACTCTGCGGCCACACGAGCAGCACTGGGCGTGGAACTACTATCGCAAATGCAACAGCCGGAGTCAGCATATTCTACAACAACTTTATTGTAGTTGTATTCATGTTCTGGCTCTGCTGGCTCGGTGTCGTCAGAAGTACTGGACGCGGGTGTCGAGGTCGAGAGCAGAAGATGGCCCTGATGGCTTTCTTTGCATTGATGCGTCGCTGTAATTGTTGTGGTGTAGCTAGTGCTAGCATTTGTTTTCGTACCAGAAGACAAGCGGCATATAGGACTGGTACGAGGCGAACTAGTAATAGTCCTTGTGCTTGTTCTATTAGTGTTGCTAGAGACGACGAGAGATAGTGATGGAGTTGGAAATGCATTTTTACTATAAGGAGGATGATGATGATGATGATGATGATGATGATGATCCGCTTCATTCTTGCAACTCTGGAGCGATGGTTTATGTTGGGACGCAGCGAGGACGAGGTCACTCGGATTTGCCTTGAAGATACTAGTAAAGCACTGTTTTGAGGCACGTTGAGAAAATCTGCGTGGTCTCCTCACGATGTCGGCGTAGGATGGAACGACGTTGAGATCCTCATCACATTCACAAGAAGCTGCAAAAGCCTCACGTTCAAGTTGATTGGCCTCGTCGACAATTTGTAGATGAAGACTTAGCTTTTGTTCTGGATGACCACGCAAGGTGGAAGCACTACTTTTGACATCTTCGTCCTCGATCGGAAAAAGTCGCTCCCCCAGCAGTTGGCACGGAGGTTGCGACAGTGTCTTGTTGGTCTTCGGTTCTTGTTCTGCCTGACGACGCAAGGTGGAAGCACTACTTTTGCGATCTTCGTCCTCGATCGGAAGAAGTCGCTCCCCCAGCGGGTGGCGCGGAGGTTGCGACAGTGTCTTCTTGGTCTTCAGTTCTTGTTCTGCCTGACCACGCAAGGTGGAAGCACTACTTTTGGCATCTTCGTCCTCGAACGGAAGAAGTCGCTCCCGCGGCTGGTAAGGAGGTTGCGACAGTGTCTTCTTGGTCTTGGTAGCCTTCTCGGTCAACAAGCATGAGGAGAGATGAAGAAAAGCCTCTACTTGATCAGCAAACCAGCATGACAAGCGACAAGAGAACGCGTGAACTTGATTGGACGAGAGCACGAGCAGCAGCAACTCTCCTCGTTCCACCATCACACAAAAAACGGGACGGAAAGCAGCCGCTTCCAGAAGCGGGTGCAGGGTGACAGGTGAGCATTCGCACTGGTGCCCGCCGTAGAGCCAGAAAAGGAGCGCCGCGCCGATCGTATACTCGCTTTCGCGGCTCCTCTTTTTAGCGAAGAGCTGGCTCTTGAGAGTAGAGCTGTTCCTGTTACATGTTGCCGCTAAGGTCGCTCCTCTCGACACGGGCATCAGAGCGCGCGACTCGCGTGTCACTGTAGGCATTTCTTCTCGGTGGAAGTTTTTGGAACAAACTCGACGTCCTCCGTCGATGTATCGTGTGTGTTCTTAAATCAAAATTAGCCGAGGTGGGAGGTAACGAAGTAATAGTAGGAGAAGTTGTGCATGTACTAGTAGCGCTAGTGCAAGAAGGAAAATAACACTATTTTCATTCAACAAATTTCCCTAGTTGTAAGCAGAATATCTTTATTGTGGACAGGATTGGAAGTCTTTTGATGGAGTTGTTCTTATGTCAATTTATTGTGATGGAAACAGAAGGTAGCTTACTGTTAGGAGCTTTTCGAAAATGTTCCCAAATCGATCAGTCGACGACTGGAGGCCCTTTGAAAAGGCGAACAAGGGCAATTATCGACTCGTGTGCTCTCTCGTCCAGATAGTTGCGCACATAAGGAAAAGTCTCGCCATCAGCGCTGACACAGTTAGAGTCCGTCGATTCTCTCTCGATCATCTGTAACGACTGCAGTCTGTCGACTCTCTCGTCTCGATGCTGACGAAACCTCAACTGAAGACTCCTAGAACTCTATGTGCGGTAGCTACTACAGTAACATTATAGAGTAGACAGGGGTCATATATTTGCTCTGCATTGCTATGTAGTCGCGTCCTACGATTTGCGTCCTCTCAGTTTCTCCTGTTGGTGTTGGCGACTTTTGTTAAACGCCTGCACTTCGCTCACAGCCGTTCTTGCCATCGCGATCGATTGGAATGTGCTGGAAAAAACAAGAAAGAAGTTTTTCACGATCGACAATGTGAATATGAGTCTTCCGATTTCCGTCTAGAAGTGCCATCTCAAGAAGTCTGCTCGGTCTACAGGCAAAATGAAAAATCAAATCTCGAATCTCTGTAGTGTAAGTCACAATCTGCTCCCACGATAGAAGTGGATTAATGATGTACATTTAGCTGGCAACAGATAAGGCACATGAAACTACCGTGCTTCACACTTCAGACAACATGATTGTTCTGCTCCATGATTGTATTGGTATCGTTATTTCTTGACTGGACTTGACAAGCCCTGTTGCTTGTCGATTATCGGAGCTACACAGTACATGCGTCCTCCTTCTTCAAAGGATTTGTATCTGGAGGAATAGAAGACCTCAGTAGCTGCCGATAGAGTACTTCTACCGAGGACGTAATGATCTTGTTCTTTGACTTTGTTATTAATATTCATACTGTTCTTGTTGTACTATCTGTCTATAAAGCTGCACTTGTACCAAGGACGTAATGATCTTCAGCCATGTCGTCAGAAGCGGTTCAACTTCAAACATGGGTTATTACCCGACCGCCCTCGATGTGTCTACGGACGTGGAAAAAGCGAAGCCCAGCATTCCAGCGTCAGCAAATTGCTCCACAGGCTGGCTTCCTATTGTTAGAGCTAGTAGGCCTCTAACTATTCATTCATTGCTCCTCCACCCTGACGTTTGCTCGAGGCCAATCAGGCAGGACTCATCAACCACCCGTTTCACCATTTAATACCAGTTTCAATCTCTTCTGATTCAGTACTAAGTAGTTGTCTTGTTTTAATATGTATCAAAAGTGGTGAGTAGCTTGCTCTTTATGTTCCCCTTGAAAGTCCTTCCTGTAGATCAAGTTCAAGGGGGCAGCCACGGAGCAGCGTACTACTACTTGCATCAGTCTAGTACATCATACAGATAATGTAGATATAGAAGTACTCCGAGGTGGGCCAAATGATATTACTGCAGCAACAAGTACGGGGTAATGGCGACTGATAAACTAGCCTTGGCATGACGTTGGTGAAGACCCGGAGGCGCCTGTATCCGTAGTTGTAAATAAACACCACGTTATACGAGTACAACACGACCCCCAGAAACTTTCCTCCCATGAGTCCGATCACGGAGAGTGTGGCTGATCATGGTGAGGGAGTGAGGGATGGCGTTGACGATGGATGTAGGTTATATTCTAGAAAGTTTTTCAGAATAACGTCAACAGCCACAAGATGGATTTTCTTTTTTTCAATAATGAAAACGACGAACAGGCGTTCTTAAACGGCAGTACCTTTGTCTTCTTCGTTCTAGTTGTCATCGATAACATGAATAGAGTAATATTCTCACGCTGCTCATCCTCAGAAGATCCTAGTATAGTATCGACGCTGTTTGTAGCTAGAGCGGATTCTTGCCACAAGTACGAGTTGTCGCTGCCTGCACTACTCGTGCTACAACAAGAGCAAGTAAGTAGTTATGCATAAATTTGAATGCATAGGGAAGAAATAGAAAATCGAAGGTCTAAGAGTGAAGTGCCCATCTCTCGCACCCATGATTGTTGGAGGTATAGACGAGGAAGAGAAATAAAAACACGTCGAGACTCGCTAGCGCCACAAGTATCGGCACGACCACGTAAAAATTGTCATGCTACATTGAGGAGCCCCACCTTATTTTGTCCTCAGCAACTGTCCTCCTGGTGAGCACATATCAGAACAAGTCTGTACTACACTATCTAACAACATATCAGTGCAGCAAGAATATCATACTCATGCTCCTCATGGTCTTCATTCATATAATCCCTGAATTGTCTGTTTTTATACGATCCATCAAGAGGACCCGCTCGTCCTCGTGCTTGCTTCCGAAAAGAATAAGAATAATTGTGGGATGATATAGCCATAGTACCAGATAGTAGGCGCAGGATATGAGGCCGACGAGGTAGTGAATGAGTGGCACTAGGAATTGGAAAAGGTCATCTAGCCTGACGGCTCCAGCGCCGTCTCCCCCTGCCTCCTTCTCTTTTTTCCGCCGGTCAAAGAGCAAACGGTTTCCCTTGACTATCAGCGAATCGTGCTCCATTGTCTGTCGCCAAGTGTTCTTGAAGGTATTCTTCTTACTCGTAAACCAGGTCTGCTACTGATCTTACTTTCGAAGGCCGCTTAGAAGACGAAGATCGTATTCTGCTATTGATTTTAGTCCGAAGTACTTTGCTTCGTCCTTTGCATCCAGCATCATGTGCTGACAATCTATTCTCCACCAGAGATGAACAAGTGCTATAGTTGTACTTGTTGTACGACTAGATACTGCTATTATTCTGATGTAGTACAACGTCCTACGCTCCTGCTCTCGTACACGTTTGCCCAAAAGTAAAAAACCGACGCCAGGGCTTCAAAGCAGCACGTCGTGAATACATCGTTTTTCAGTTCAAAAAACAAGCGTCCACTCGAGGATGCACATCGTGATCTGCACTGCGATGTTCGGTCTCTCGAACATCTGCGCTACGTTACTCGCTGCTCCAGGTTGCGGGTACCTACTGATGCTGTGCCTCGAATGAAGTCGAATGAAAGTACACATCTTGCTTCTTGGTAGCACAAAAACCAAAAAACTGTTGTGCCTGGACTGAAGACGAAAAAATGTGGTCGCACAGGGTCATATGGTCATTTCGTCTTCGTGCCTGTTTGACTTTTGCCTCTGAGGCAACACCGCGTCTGGGCACATCACCACCTTTGGGGCAACAGGGTCAGCGCCAAAACGCTGAGTCGATAATTGTTGAGTGGAGATGAGTTATTGAGTCATTCATTCATTTACGCTGACAACCGCCAGAAGCAACAATTTCTCCTACGAAGGGGTATTCTATTTCCAATTCACCGCCCTGCAAGTTGTAATTAACCCATCTTCTGGTTCTGGCAGAACTAGAATGACAAACAAGGCAACCTCCGCGGCCATGGTTCATACTACTCTTTGCACTACTTTTAAAATCGAAATCCAACAAAACCGAAACCACAGATGAGACAGAATCACTCTTTCTCATATCACTAGTTCGATTTTCGGTCTGCCCTATCTGCTTCATCATGGCAACAAAAAGTTCCAGCAATACCTACGGCTTTTTATCGAGTAGAAACTACTCACATCGAAAATCATAATCATCAAAATTTAGCGTCATAATACTGCATTTACCTGCGCTCACGCTCGCAGCGAGCGACTCGCTCTCACACTTGTTCTCCTTTCGTCAGTCTTTACACGGCTCTCACTTGCTGCATCATCATCTGTTTTAATCACTCTCCTTGACAGTCAATGCTTGCTCCGAACCATAGATATTGACGCGCCTACTACCCCTAGGCACAAGCCTAGGAGAAACATAGTACTTATCCCCACTCATGAACGTTCCGACGACTTCGCCGGTAAGGATGAAACAACTCGAAAAAGCTCTAATATGCTACATGTTGGAGAGTAGGTCATTTTTTCTCCGGCCTCTCTACTTCAAGCTCGTGATAATGCTAGGCTAGGTTAGGTTGTGAATCCTGTACATCGAACCCCTCGGCACCTGGCTCGACTCCGAGGATGATTAGGTGAGCTGAATAAAGTCGACGGCGTGCACCGAGGCCGGTGACCTGAATAAAGTCGTGGCCATTAAAAAGGACCGATGTCCATATGGATCTTTCCGCTCCTCTCAAGGACCGACAAATCACGTTTACATCTTTTTTGGCTTTGTGCTTCGCGACTTGTTATCAGTATCCACTGCGAAAGCGCCACATATCCGCACTTCTGCACGCCTGCGCAACCGCTACCGCCTACTCAAGCCTTAACGCCACGATGTGGCCACAAAGCCTCAAGGCGAGACGCGAGGCCATGCGCTCGCGATTATTTGCTGTTATGCTCAGGCTGAAGAACATGGATAGATCAGAGTGATAAAAAGTATCGTGATGCAAATCTACCTTTGGTATCGTCTATCTTCACTTCTATCGAAAATATTTCGTGTTCAGATTCTGTATCGTAAACATTTGAAGAGAACGACGGAACATGTTATAATGAGAAGAGTTTCACTCCGTTCTCGACTGGTGCATCTTGGCTTTCTAGTCTGTAAAGTTTTGGCATTCGGATTTTGGTGCTCGTAATGCTAGGCTGTTTTACCTGCCCGGGTTGTTGACGCGGCCGCACAAGCGTTAGCGTATTCTTCCGAACGTTATTTAAACAACGCTAGTGATGCGCCAATGCGATTCTTCTCCTATGTAGTCTATCCTCTTCATTTTTGTCCCCCTGGGAAAGACCACTAATCAATCGCTGTCATACTCATGGAAATGTCCAAGGAAAAATTTTCAAAGGACAAGACCAAGTAGACTGATAAAGTGAATAGCTGTATAGCTATAAAATAATATCGACTCTGATGAGGTAAGCTTCTCTTCGAGCCCCTACTTCGACAATCGCTTATTTCTTCGACACCATCTTCAACATCTAGTTGTACTTATTATTTTATGCATAGATTATAAATTTTCTTCGGGTCCGGGGCGAGCGCGCCCAAAGACAAAGCAAATATTTATCAACCAGAAGATCACAGCAAAACTTTCTCTTGTTGTGACGTTATCTTCCACGTATCAATTTCACTGTTTCGAAGAGGAGGCACTACGTACCACGACTCTTGATATTCCACCCAGAAGGGTTGCTGTGGACGAGCACAACAGGAAGATCTTCTTTCTTGTCTTTCTTCTGTGCTGCATCATCTTGCGACACGATATGAAGGATCACGCCGTCTCCTTCGTGGGCGCTTTCGCCAGATGTTCCTTCAGCTTGGGTGTTTGTTGTTGCTACAACTCCGCTACCTCCTGGAGATGCTGGGACACCTGGGCTTCTGAGCCGCTTGTCAGAGGACTGTCGCCGCACTTTTTCAGCCCCTGGTGTCGGAGGAGGTGGCGGATTGGAAGATCCGGAGGTACAGGCCACCATATCTCGTCCCATATCTTCTGACCCATCTTCAAGGCCGCGCGAAGGCCTATCTTCATCATAGGAGGAAGTCAATCGACGTTGGCAATCGTCCGCCGTAGTAGGATCGTATCGGTCATCGCTTCTATAATGTAGACAAAGAAGTGGTCGTCTTGGAACTGCAACCACATACCTATACCACTGGATTTCCGGTGGCTCTCTACGCATAAGTTCGAGTGTGGTACTAGTAGTACCATATTGACCCTGGAACTCAGCATTGCCATCGTAGAGGACGGGCTCTCTGGAGATGATGACGAGCCGATCATGATGATCCTCCCGTCCGTGTTGCGCAGGCATCATTTGATGGCGATCGCCAGCACTTGAAGAAGGTGCAGGATGATGATGTTGGTCAGAAGCTGTTACTTGATGATGATCGCCACCACTTGCCGCAGGCACTTCATAATCGAGAACCGTTGTTAGACGTTGAACTGGGGTTTTCGTATTGTTCTGAGCTTCTTAGCCTTATTCCGTTGATCTTTATTTATGATGCATGATTGATTTAGTAGTAGTAGTAGTAGTAGTAGTAGTAGTAGTAGTAGTAGTAGTGTACCCATTCGAGAGGTGTAATGTTTAATTACTTGATGCACTACTTCCTTCAACCCCTTTTTTTTCTTCTGATTTTTCATTTCTTGTTTCCCTTGCACATTTAATACCCCCCTCTTAATAACGTTATTTAAGTAGTAAAGCTGAAGGTGGGTTGTCAAACTTCTAACGAAGGAAACGAAAGCAGGAAAACCTAAAGCCTAGCCTTAATTTTGTTCCTGCTCTCTCAGACAGATTGATGCCAGAACTCGACAAGGAGGAGGACGAGGTAGAAGTTTTTATACCTTGAAGACCAGCACGACCACGAGGATGAGTAGACTGGTGAACGTTTGTATTGTTTTCTAACGATGTTTTAGCTTCCTGGAGAAAAAGCTGCGGGGCCACGGCCTTTGCAGTCTGTTTGTCAGCACGTCCTAGAGCGCGTCTAGGTAAAGATCCTAGGAAAGGAAGAAGGCGGTCGCTCACCACTTCCGAAGGCAGGTTCGGGATCGACGGAGGCTGTGAGACCTCAAGCTCACCGTACAAACCGGATGATGCGCGTCTGCGGCGAAGTTGTCCTACTCCGGCTTCGAAACGGTCGAGTCTTTGAGTTCCAGCCTTGATGATCAGCCAACCGTTCTTGTCGATCTTCATCTGAGGGTGAGCAGTGTAGTTTCTTCCATCTATATATTTCTTCATGCCAGGAGCTGTACGTGCTGCCGCCAAATAGCTCGTCGCCGCGCACGGAGAAAGGACCAGACACCATGTCTTCAAAACGGATATTAAGGATAACATTGACAACATGTTGACTTGTGTTAGATGATGCAGCCTAACCCTAAGCCTATGCAGTTTGCAATTTAAATAATGTTATCTCCTGGATGTAGTAGGGAAAGATCATTGGTAAAGAACGATAAGAAGCTTGCACTTTCTTACAGTGTGTGGTTGTGTTATAATTATATCAGAAATATGAAAATTAACAACATGTTGTATGCCTAGCAAATACGAACGAAGAAAGTAAAAGTTAGCAAAAAAGTCTTCTAATTGGATTCTTTCTTTCTTTCTTTGAATGTTCAAATTGAATTCGAAACGCATGTTGCATGGGTGCTACAGAATCATTCTGAATTAAAATTAAGGAAACAAAACTATAGAGCGACTTCAGCGATTTAATGCAGCAATTTCATAGGATGTAAGTATCATTGCATCATTTTGCAAAGAATTGTTGCTGCGCATGCCGCCACTTGGTGAAGTAATATCTGGTTTTCACGATGGTGTCAGCCAGAAAGACAAGAAAAATGATGTCCGCTTTTTTTTAACAAGTTTGATTGAAGAGATCCGAAAATCTTCTGTATCTGAAGCTTCTGAATCTGACTTCAGCCAACTTGTCATAGTCATTTCAAGCGTCACTTTTGTCGATTCAACCATGAAGACCAATCATGACCATGTTCTTGTCCTCGTTAACAAGAAGGCACCAGGAGGTGCTGGCTACTGCTGGATTTGATGAAAATTAGCTACTAGATTTCTACATGTCATGTTCACCATCGTCCTGCTCGTCGATCATTTTTGCTAACACAACAACTGCAACTCCATGATGCGTTGATACGAAACTACAACTTCTCGTTGATGAATTGATTCTGCGTGTCGAAAGTGAAGAGAACCTACATCTTCAGCTAGATGCCGCTGCAAAACTCTGTATCTTACAATATATATATTATAATAAGGGAAAGAATCGACGACCTCCGGACCCGGCAATTACAACCTAAAATTGGGTGCTGACAACGGCCAAATTTCCGAGATTTTGTCCGTCTAAAGTTAAGCACTTCGGATCGTCGACGCGGATACATCGCCACTCTCGAACTCCTGTTGCCACTGCTTCCTTGCATTTCTTAGTAAAGCGCAGATGACGTGTTGCGCGACTCTATAATTCTCTTTCATTTTGTCCTATTTCTATCTTATGTGATTTGAAGATGAAAAAGACGTAGAACAAGCGAAAATATCCCTAGATGTAATATACTTTCAATATTGTGATGAAGATGAGGAGCAGGAACGAACTACAACTACGACAACATTTGTCGTATGCTACTATCTAGTATCAGTATCATCTAACGAATCTTTCGAACATCATCCAGATACACTTACACAAAACGAGTCGCAGAAGTACAACTACAAGGAAGAAGTACTACTAGTGCAGCAAACGCTAAAGAGTAAGAGTGCACGATATCCAGGCAAGGACAAGAAGTAGGCTTGTGAGCCTTAGAGTTAGATAGTCAACAATCATATTTCACGACTGGAGATGAAAAAAGTCCAAGGACAAGGAATTATAGATAATGTCTGATATTGATGAAGTTAGTTTTATCATAAGTTTGTAGGTGAGAGGCTGCACTTCCCAGTCTCGAATCTCGAGAATGCCACCTCTTTGTTCCGCCTCATGCAGTTTTTTCTCCAGAGCGGTTCGATCGGTTCCGCCTACGGCTACGACAAAAAAATCGTGATTTTGATCCATGCACACAAGTGGTATCGGCACTTGAATTTCGGTCAAGGCCACCATTGCACGCGCTATCACCACGGACTGCTTGTTCTTTTTCTTGTTGTCTACTACAACTACTTGACGTTTACCTTCAGTCTTTCCTTGTGGTCCTTCACTTGCCTGCTGCCCAGTTTCATCACTTTCAGCTCCACAAGCATCGGAAGCGACAATGAGTGGAGCAATACACTCAGCCCAGCCACCGAATGTCGCTTTTTTGCCCGTGTGATCGACCAACTGCTTTACTGTAGCGTCTATCTTCTTCCTCATGCTTCGCCAACGCACAGGCAGATTGCCATCGTCACATTTCTTGCCCATGCTGTCATCGAGGTTCTTCATTAGAGCCATCCCCGACCACGAGCCCTTTTTTCGTTTGAAAAAGAGGCCAAGGATCATGATGTAGGAGGATATGCTTCAGGCAGCGGTAGCCGTAACTTCACCACGTCCGTTATCTGCTTCATCTGCCGCTTCGCCAAGGCTTGATGCTGCTCGCATTCGTTAGAATAGTTCTAATGTAGTACAACCACGACGACCACTGGTGCCGCAAGATAGAAGCACGAATAGTTCTATAATGTAGTACAACCACGACGACAACTGGTGCCGGAAGATAGAAGAACTATTCTAGAAGCACATCAAGCAGCACAAGGCTTTGGCTTTTCCCCCGAGAACTTGCTTCATCTTCGTCGAGGACTCAAGTAGAAGAACACTCGAATAAAAATTACAATTTTTTGAATTTGTTTTGTACTAGGATGATGAACATGATGAAGAAGATGAAACCAGGTTTGCTTCTTTCATCTACTTACTTAGCACACTAGGAGTCAAGAAAATGATCCTGCTTACTTAGCTATCATGGAGCACCATAATTTTGAGTGAAGCGCAAATCTCAAGACTTTCGTAGGCCTCTCCTAGGCACAAGAGGCACAGCTGCACCGCACCGATGTTGTGCCACAGTGTGGGAGAGCGATTGGCATTCTTCGCATCCAGTTCGGTCGCTTTCGTGTAGATCGCACATTAGAGACTCACTGCTGCAAAATGGACTGCTGCAAAATGCTCGTCGTGTTCAAATCAGCTTCTACCAGGTAGAATCTACCTGCTGAAGTGAAATATTGTAGTTATTTCAACAGTTTTATTAGTTACTACATCTTCAGTCTCTTTCATAATCGTATGCCTCTTCAAGTGCGCTCCTGCTCGCTGAGGTCATGTAGAAGAAGTAGTTCCCCAAGCATTCCCAGTTCAGCACCTCCTCTGGCTCTAGGTGGATTGCACGCCTAGCCCAGTCAAGACTGCCATCACCTGTAGTGAGGAGGTGTTGTAACTGTAAACAAAATGTTGTTCTTGTGGTAGTTGATGTGGCTGAAAACAACTACGAGGAAGTATTAAAGTAGTTTGCTGCTTGGTCTCTACTTGCTCTACTGACTTAGACATCTTTGTCTTTGTGGCGTTCTCAATAATAATATTACATAGATGTTGACCTAGTAGTAAAAATAACCAGGCAGTTATTTAAACAAGTTAAACAAATTGTGGCTGTACCTGCCCGATCGCTTTTTCGCATAGCGATTGAGAGACATCTGCAAGCTGTCGCGTTTTCGCCTGTGAAATCCAGGCTGTTTTGGAAACAACCGATAGCGGATTCAAAATTCTCGCGATCGAAATACAAGGTTCCTAGCGTGTACTTAGAGCTACCGCATTCGAGGTATTCGCAGTTCTTCATTCCGTTATTGTTCCCTCTATTTCTTTACTATGAGAAATATCCTACGTACAGGAATTGAAAGACTGTCGTAGCAGCTAAAAACAAGAAACAAGGGAGGATCAGAAATATTGCGAACTTCTACAGAGGTAGGGAGGATGCACATCATGCATGTAGATCGAAGATGCACCATTTCATTACTTCTAATACTGCAAGTGCAACTGAGGTAATAGTAATGGTACTACTTACTAGCCTTCAACTGCGGTACTTCTACCAAGTATTATATTACCCTTAATATTCCAAGCTTGTTGAGAAAAGGGGTTCATCTGCAGGCATTGCTCCAGTAGATGCACTGCTGTATCGGGACTGGTGACTGAAAAAACGAGACCGCGCAAAAATCGGATCATATCGACTTCCTCTCTAGCTGCTTGTTGATCATCTTCATGATCATGATTTATTAGGTTTATTAGAGACAGGGTTTTGGTGTTTCTTCTGTTTCCCGTTTGTTATGCTTGTCTCCTTTAGGGTTAGGAGAGGCAACACGACGATAACAGGAACACCTAAAACCTACCCTTAAGTTTAGTCCTAGGTTACTTCCATTGCTGCTGCTCGGAACGTGGTGCTGTGCAGGTAATGTAGTTCCACTTTGTTGATGCTTGGAAGATGAAGTAGCAGTAGAAGTAGTATCACTATTATCTTGAGCTTTCTTAAATGGTTAAAATTACTGGACCTGTCGCTTTTCCATCTGTCGTGATTCATTTCCTCTATTAGGCTTCATAAGTAGGGGCGTCACGACAGATATCCAGCTTTTCGACGAGGGGATCCAGCTTTTCTAAGCATAAATTTTTCTTGTTTTCCAGCATATTGAAGGTCCTCGTTTTCACCTCCACCACCTTGTTTCCCACCTTCTTCAACGTCCAATGCTTCCAGCAGTTCAGAGGCTACGGCATCGATTCTTGTGCTTTTTTCATCTCCGAAATCTTTTTCATTTAGTTCTAGCAGACTTTCACACTTTTCAAGCAGCGAAAGCAGTCGCTTTTTGCGACCAGAACATGATGATGTTCCAAATGAAGAAGATGTCCCCTTTAGTGGCTTTGCCTTATTGTTTGCGGTTGTCGTTCCCGGTTTCAACGCCGACCACGGGTCTTGGAAGCAAGCTGGCGGTTGCAGCAGTAAACAACCCGACCCCGCGGAGGTCCTCGAGCCATCGAATGGAACGGCTGCCACGACAGGCATTTTCTTGTTGTTGATTGATTTATCCGAATATCAATTTCTTTGAAGATTAATATTGTGCGAGATCATTAATTGTATCTATTGTATTGTATTGTATCTTCTGACACCAGAACAAGATATGTGAACGTTCTTGTTCTTGTTGTAGTTGTACTTCCATCTTAGATCATCTACACTGAAAACTGAATAAAAAATTCTAACCGAGGCGAACAGCATCGTGTTCGAATTATTATATCATGCTGGTTCTAGTACTGCTTGTACCTCCTTCAAAGACAAACTTTGCAGTAGAGTTGTACAACGGCTCTAAATTGTTCTCGTTTCGTTCCATCCTCCTCTTCATTAGGCATTGGCGCATGCCGATGCCTTCAATTGTTAGTACCTTGAGGACCTTCGATATTTTCAAATCCGGCTTTTTACCAGGTTAAGAACTACCACTTTTCAAGAATGAAGTAGATGAGGAGGCCTTGTTATATTTCTCTAGCGCAGGACTAGGAATGTCGCAGCTTGGCAAATAATGCCCTACTTCAAAAGGAGGTGTCTTTATCTTTGTTTTTATTGTTCTTGGCGTGCCCGTTTATGGTTGATAAGTTTCAAGGTCATCTTGACCTCCACAGCGCAATTATGGGTAAGGGTAAGGCTCCACCGACGAAGAAAAAGAACTTTTTTAGCTTGTTTTTCTGGAAAAACCTTAGCAGCTCGTGGTCAGTTAATTTTTTGTAGCATCATCAGCTGCCTGTGTGCAAGTGCTCTTCCAGAGGCTGAGAGTTGCTGGAAAATGAAGCAGCGAAAAGAACTACAAATACGTGGGAGTAAGTAGCAAAAGGTAACTACACCTTGTGCATCTTCAAAGCTTTGCCTCTGCCGTAGTGCGCTCGACCGCCAAGGCGACTCCCTGACCTCCGCCAATGCACATGGTCGCTAGACCTTTTTTCACGTTGCGTCGCTGCATCTCGTAGAGCAGGTCTACGAGGATACGGGTTCCACTGGCACCGATCGGGTGACCCAAAGCAATGGCTCCGCCATTCACAATCGTTAGAGGACTGCTCGTGTTTCATGTTCATTTAATACAACTCTTGTGTAGTACTCTCACGACATCAAGCTCCTCAGTTTGTAGAACGAAGAACAACAAGAGTAACAAGACTTTCTCCTCGTGTTTCTCAGACAATGACGATGCAGATGAAGATTTACAGACTTCAGACACGTTTAATAACTAGTACAGGTAGTTGTATACTTACATGATCGAGATCGTACTTCTCTTCAAATAAGTCACCTAATGCTAATGCTCTTCATGATTATAATTTACATCAACTTCCATTACTTCTTGTGCACCAGTCACCAGATCATCATCTATTAAGAAACTAGTATATCGATTCTAAAGTTATCTCTTCTATCAGATGATCGCCAGCCCCCATAAGTTGACTTTCGTGAGGTCAAAGCCCAACTCCTTTGCAACGCCTAAGCTTTGACTCGCAAAGGCTTCGTTGCTCTCAATCAAATCCACATCGCCGATTGACCAGCCTGCACGTTGCAGGCACTTGCGGGACGCTGGTACAGGACCGAGGCCCATCACAAGAGTTAGGGGGATGGGGAAGAAAAAAAATGTCATCATGATCATCTGCCTACTTTGTTCATTGGTTCGTCGTGACAACAAGTACTAGTACATGGTGGTAAACGTAAATGTACTAGGAGATGTTGAATCAATTTGTTTCAAGTACCTAGTACCCGGAAGCGGATTCTGTTTACTTAGTATAAAGTTCAATGACTGAAAACAACTGCAGGAGCAAAACGAGTCCCACTTCATACCTTAGGATCCAGGCCCGCGGATGCGAAGGCCTTGCAAGAAGCTAGAATCGGACATCCCATCTCTCTTGCCTTTTTTAGAGCTACCTCCGCATTAGCTGCACCTGCATCTTCCTCTTTGAGAGTAATTTACTATAGTATCCTAGTTGGAAAGTGGTGCTGCTGCTTCTTTTTCAAGTAGAAACGCTGACGAGGTGCGGAGGATCACGATGCTTGAGCGGCAGTCTTAACTTTTCTAGCGTCGTCAGGATAACGAACGCTGCTCCATCGTTCAAACCACTGGCGTTGCCAGCTGTAACGGTTCCACCTGAGTTACGGAGGTTAGCGTTAGGAAGATAAGACTAAAAATTTCATCATCATCACAAAGACAAAGTAGATGAATCAATTTTTAGATATAGAGTCCTCCTTCTGGGCACTCCAACGTGGTGCTCTTCTCTATTTTCACTTGAACTTCAAGTTGTACCCTGGGACTCGTCGTCGTCCGTGGTGGTCACCTTCTCTAGCATAATTACACTCGAGCAAGAACATCACGTACAAGTTGTACCTTTCGCAAACGCCGGCTTCAACTTTTGGAGGCCTTCTGGACTACTTTTCTCGTTTATGTATTCGTCTTCGAGCAGGTTTCCTATCTTGACAGTCTGCTCTACGAATTTCTTCTCGCTCTTGGCTTTGATGGCTTTCTTCTGTGAAGCCAGGGCGAAGTTATCCTGCTCCTCCCTTGACAAGCTATGTTTTTTCGCCACGTTCTCAGCCGTAATGCCCATGTGATACCTGCTCTGGTGGAGACGATTCATTGAAATGGAAGGCAAGATAAGAAAAAGGTATAGGTAGTTGGTGACCATTAAATATTTCAAAGTAGAGATATTACAATTAATGCCTTATTTCGTCGAAGATGCCATCAACATCATCGCGTCTCAGCAGTAATCTCATCGGAGGTACACGAAGACATAGAAGCATGTCGACGGAAACGGAATCTGGACCTAAAAGAAAGAAGACGGCCATAGTTTATCTAAGCATTAGCATACTTATCTAAATTTTGATTACTGGTTAAAAGCGCATGTGAGTCCATCGACCAGCATGGTGTCCTGCATTTTCACGTCTCCCATTTTTTGTCCTAGCCTTGAGGTCTTTCCTGCGACGAAGTGGGGTGCCTGCGACATGTTCTCCTGACCCCCGCAGGCTACCATAGTTGCTTCGCCTGTCAAGATCGCCTGCATACCCAAATGAATCGCTTTCAGACCGCTTCCGCAGACCTTGTTGATGGTGAAGCTAGGCGTTTGCTCGGGTAAGCCAGCCATAATCGCTGTCTGTCTTGCCGGGTTCTGGCCGCAACCTGCAGTCAGAACTTGGCCAATTATCACTTCGTCTATTGCTCAGAGATTAGATCCCCTTGTGATGAAAACAGGAGCTAAATGTAGCTGATCCTGATGTTCCTCCAGGTGATCCTCTGGAGAAACATCAGGATCATCAGAAGTAGCAGTTAAGTACAAGAAGACTCTCTTAACTTCGGACCCTTTGGGTAAGTCCGCGAGGCACTGTTTCAAGATGAGAGAGCCGATTTGCGACGCCGAAAAGCCTCGAAGCGACCCATTGAATTTGCCTATAGGAGATCGTCGCGCAGCCACGATCACTGGCACTATCTTTGCAGCGGCCGAGTCACCCTTCATCTTGATGTTGGGTTTGGGGTTCTACTTCTACTTGTATGTGGTAGTTCGTTGTACTTCTAGTCTTTGATGGAAGTTCTTTAAGTTATTATTATCTAGTTGGTGCTTCCTTTTTATCAACATTTGACGCCGGCCTCGTTGTAAATACTTCCTTGTACCTGTAGCACTTTTTTGGTTCCTGCAATTGTGAACAAAAGAAAAAAATCAGACTTTTTCAAGGACCAGAGTACAAATAGGTGCGTTCTTTTGAAATAGCCACCGATAAGATCACTCAGTGCAAGCCGACCCCGATGAAGTTGTTAGAATTGATGTCAACGCTCAACGGCATGAATCTGCTCTCGGAAGTAGGGAGTATTTCTCTCAAATTTTCTCAAGAGATGCATCAGAGGCATGGAGTTGGAGGTATTCTGTGTTGTACCGACTCTAAAATTGTTGTAGTACACCGAATGAGTAGTATCATCATAGGTTGGAATGCTGACTTTTGCGGGACCTTCTGATGGGCCTACTGGTATCCATGGAACAATTTTCGAAATCAAGAAAATCAGGGCCCGGGTCCTGCTCGTGCGTCAGCGTGGTATGCTCCACCACTCTCGTCTCATCTATTCGCGTCTAGTACTGTAAAACAACATCACATGATGTACATGTTCAACAATCTTCATGCTTACATTTCTACTTTCGAGACCTTCATAATCAGATCATGATCATTGTTCACAAACACGTGTGTAATATTTTGCGCAAAGATTTTCAGCAGGTACCAGGTGGATATCATAATCCTAAAAGCTCGACTCTCCTGCACCTCCTCCACTGAGTTCTTCGATGAAAGCAAGCGCCTCTTCTGTCTCTTGGAGATTCAGCGCTGCATCGTTGAAATTCTTCTCCACTGCAGTAAAAATCTTCTTGTTTGCCTGATGAAAATGAAACAAGAATATGAGGCTTTTTCAAGTAGCATAGTCATAGATATCCATGATGCAACAAGAAGACGACTCTGCGTGGTCTACCTGGAAACAAATATATTACAAGATAAATGAAATAAGTAGCTGCCAAAATATTTTCATACAAATTATACATAGACTATTTTCACGTTGATGAATAGACATGATTAGTAGACGAGTACCTCATCCCTGTTTTTGAGATCGCGCAAAATGTCGTCCATGCTGTCGATATCCGCTGTCAATTGTTGTACTGTTGTCTTTGCGTCTGCTGCCGTCTTCTCGCAGGACTCCACTAGTCGCGTCTTCTCCGCTAGCTCGGCTGCCGCCGCCGCCACCGGTTGCTGCAGGTCCACGAGTGTCTTGGTGAGCGAGGCGCGATGGGTGGAAAAGTGCTGCTCCACGCTGTCTATAGCCATCTGGTCAAAACGTCCTCGGTCGGCTTTTGCCTTCAAATACGCCTTTGGTGCCGCATTGCAAAGGCTTTCATCCAACTTCATCCCCTTTAGCAGCTGCTCCATTGCGACGACCTCCTCTCGCGCTCCTTTTTTGCTACTCTTACCGCCAGCACTACGACCGGCTTTCATGATACAACTAGCTTTGTTACTAGAACTTGAAGAGGACGGCGCTTTATTCTTTACGCCATCTACTGTTCCTGCTCCACCTTGTAAATCGTTGCCATCTTCGTCGCGTAGGGTGATCATGCCTGCAAAAGCGCCCTCAGCAGTTTGGAGAGCCTTTCTCGCAGATTCTGTTTTTTGATCGAGCTGTTTCTTGTTCTTTTCCGCCTTTGCGAGCTCGTTTCTGAGAGGAAAGACAAAGAGTTGTGAAAAATTATACTCGAACTCGACGTCGCAAATAATTCAAAGACCAGAATTATATATGTACCAGGGAGGGAGGCCCCACCCCTCCCCTGTGGTTCGAGCGCATCCATATGTACATGTACTGGCATATATAAAGATAACCCAATTCACTGATATCTTCAATAGCCTGTTGCACGAGGTCTACTTATTTTCGAAATAACAACGACCATGTTGATCAATATATCATGCGCGCAATATCTAGAAGTGATATTAGGAGGAACAACACTTTTTTCATGTTAATACAAGACACTTTGTTCTTCAAGTTCCTGATGTTCATCTAATCTTCATGGTCTCGTCCCATACTAGCTAGCACGACTAGGTAGGAAGTCTAGGTACTACAAAGCAAAAAAAGTAAAAAAAGTTCAATTTTTTACTTTGCAGCCTTCCATTCTTCTTTTTTGGTTGCTTCCCAATGTGTCGCTGCTTTCAGGTCGGCTTTTTTGGCATCTATCTGGACTCCCAGGGTTTCGATTTTGTGTCTAACATCATCCTTCTCGGTTCCTGCTGCATCGCGCTCCTTTCCAGCGTCGAGTTTGGCGGTGGCTGCAGAACCCCGCATTTCTAGCACGGCCGCTCGAATCAATTCGATCGCTTCCTCCTCCAAACTCAGGTGTTGTTGGCCTCCACCCCTATAAGATGAAGATGACGACGCAGCTGGTGCGTTAGCCGCAATATTAGAAGACTCTCGTTCCACAGCAGCTCCGTGATCTCCGCCGTCAGTTCGAAGGAAAGCATCGATGCAGATGCCCTGGAGCATACCTGAAACCAAGGCATTGTCGCTCTTTGCGAGTACACGTTCGATTTGCGTCACTCTGTAATCAACGTCCTTGTTTTTCTTGGAGGTGCCCGTCTTCTTCGAAGCTGCAGGTGCAGCGACTGAGACTGTCTTCACACGCTTCTTCGCCGCCGACGCGGCTGACGACGTTGATGCACGTTTCATTGCTGGCGGCATTATTTGACTTCGTTATCGTTCTCGATAAAAACTATTTACTACGTAAAAGTTTGCCGCGAAGAACGGATATGGATGAAGCTCCTCCTACCTTAAAGTGCTATTAGCTATAGACCACAACGACTCTTCAGTAAATATGAATAAAAATTTCTCACAGTGTGAGCGGGGCTAAAAACGCTAGTACTTCAGACAGTGAACGACCTTGGACAGTGAACGACCTTGTGTTTTTGAACTTAGAAAAAACACTCTTCGAGGGAAAATTTTGGTGGGGGACGGACACGGATTTTTCGAATTTTCACAATGGATTAGTACACCTACTGGTGAGGGTTGACAAGGGAAGAAACACTTCTAGAAATTGCTTTCTTGGTCGTCCGTAGCGGTACGTACTAGTAATAAGTAAATAACCCAGTCAAAAACAAAAAGTGAATTCTTTGTGGCAATACATAGCCAGCGACAGCGTGTGCTCTCTCCTCGTTAATACTTGTGCTGCTCAGAGACAGAAGCCAAAATAAAAAGATGAAATATATAATGGGTCAGTTGCACACAGAAGAAAAGCCTCACGTTCACGAAGATCACTCGTCGCAAGGAACACCAGAAAATGAAAACAGACTATTGTTCGTGTATTAAATATCGATATACTTCCTCCTCTCCTGAAGGCATTTTAGTACAGGCAACGCGCGATCATGGAATAATTATCCCTGAGAGCACACGTTACGCTTTGTCACTCAGTAATGTTCTTACGAAAACACAGATTGTCTTTGATTTATGATCTAGTATGACTCTTGCTCTCAACCTCATTACGTGGTTCATTCTTGCCTCAAAGAGTGCCTCGGTGTCAAACTTAAAGAACGACAAAGATGAAAAAGAGGATCGAGCTCGTCCTCGTGTTTTATCAGCATATCTCCTGCAGAGCATGCGAAACCTATTTGCATCATCATTTTTCCTTCCAAGCTAAGTCTAGACGGAGAAGGCAGTGCATAGCATATTACGTCTAAGCCATCATGGATGTGCATCTTCGGCAAGATCATTTTTTTCATTCTGCAAGATCTTCAATCTCAATTCGTTGTTTTAATACGAGCACTTTGGCCTTCCCCTTGTTCCCCTATAACGCAGCCTATTCCCCTAAGTTCCATGTAATCACGTTTTACCTCCTGCAGCAGCCGCGCGACAACAGCATGCTTGGCGTCGAAAAATCGGGCCTCGAGGTCGCCCATTCGCGCTTCGAGTAACGAGACACGCTGCGATATACGTCCAAACAGCAAGCGCTCAGCGTGGACACGGAGACAGTGTGGGGATTAGATGAACATGAAGATAGGAGAATGATCTCAAATGCGATTTGCTGGATTTGAACATTTGGTTTCTAGAGCGTTGGCGCTGCGTGACCTCTTTGCTCATTATAAGAGACAGCACACGCCACCTCGAGCTCGACTTGGATCTACTTGTTCTTCGTTCTTGCTTGTTTTGCTAGTAGGGTGTATTCATATCCATATATCATATAAGTAATATCGAGGCGACGTATCCATCCTACCTTATCCAAATTCTACTTGGTACACCTACAACACCTATCCTGTTCATAAACAAAATGTCTTAAGAATTTTCGTGCGGTTTCTGGGTCGACCGCCTCTCTTTTCAGCGCCGCTTCGATGGTACTGCACTTGCTTTCTATGTCCCTGACAAGTGCTGAAATTTGCCCCTTCGGGTTGTCGCTCGTCATCCTTTTGGTGCACCTTGCTGTTCGTAGATGTATCTGTATGATAAATGATGATATAGAAGAATATCAGAACGCCATCTACTTAGTTCTAGCACGTTGCACCACGTCCACAAGGTTAGGGTAGGGTTAGGATTCGCGATTTTTTTTCTCCTCCCGCTGGTGGTGGATAGGTTTTCGTCGTAATTGTAGATGTAGTTCGGTGTTTTAGTGGAACTATAGTCATTTGCGAGACCAGACCACCTTTCTCTGGTGCAGTCTTTGTAGCATCCATCACAGCCGCGAGCATTGCGTAAGAGAGGATGAACAATTCGCCTGCGACTGGTGTCCTCCACCAGCAGCACCCTTTCTTCAGAGCATGGTCTTCTTGATGTTTCTTGCTCCTTTTCTTTACATGTTGTACAGCTGTTACTTCTGGAAGTAGCGATCATGGTTCTGTTCTTGTAACTTGTTGAACTTCCACCAGAATAGAACAAATAGAATCAAGTGGCACCACGGCAATGATTTTTTCACATTACCTTGACCTTGTTCATAGAAGTTGGTTAGAAATGGAAGTCATTTAAGTCCTCGCTCGTCAATACATCAAAAAGGGTAATGTTTTCGATATGCAACAAGAACGGACGCTTTTTTCGGCAGAGATAGACAATGCGTCTGTAAGCCCTCCCAGGACTCTAGGTAAGATGCTGGTATCCCTTCCAATTCGTTCTTCAGGTTAGAAGGGGTGAAGAACAAGAACTACTTATTAATACAGTGAAGAGCTTCATCCGGTTGCTGGGTGACGAATTAAATCATCAGTACAAGAGCGGCTAGAATATGAATCTTCTAGCACCAGTCGCTCTGGTGAGTTATTTGATCAACGGCGCATTTTTTTCCTCCTACTTGTAGTCGAAAATTATGCTGATGAGTGTACTGTTCGATTACTTGCTTTAGCGCATATGCAGGAACCAAGCTGTCTAGTATTAAGCAACTGTATCCGAAAACAAGCCATAATTGCAATCATTTCGGTAAGCATGAGTATTGAAACATCAGCGAGGGTAAAGCCAGCGTCTCGTATTGCATAGCCGTCACCCTGTTCCACCCTTAGTTCTAGGAAATCCATCACGCGTTTGAGAGGCCCTGTAGCGTAGTCCTGCCGCAACGATAGCTTCCTCTGTTGTGCCCGAAAATGGAAAAAAGAGAAATGAGACGATAATTCATATACATATTTTTTCGATCCATCAACAACAAAATCGTGTCAAAAAGATAAAGACCTTACTTGTTATGTAGTACGTTTACATCCGGATCGCTTGGCACCTTTGACAACGCGTCATCGCAAACGGCTGATGTTAGAAATTTGTCCTACCTCCTTGGTTACTGTGTAATTGCGGAAGCGGATGCTACCTTCTTGATTGATGTAAGTACTTGCAATCCTCGGATGATCTACAAGGTGAAGAAAATTGAAAAATATCAAGTATATTGCTAGTACTTGTTGGTGGTACGCGGTAGTCGTCGCTCAATCATTATATCTACCGACGCTTATGATCACCTTCATTCTATGCCCATGTTGCTCTTCAACATCAACATGATAATCGCTCCATCACATAAAGAAAAACGCGTGCGAGAGCGAGTAGTCTTCTATTAATAAAGCTCATCTCAACAAGTACTTAAGTGAAAGTGTAAATGGAGGGTGGCAAATCATAGCATTATCTCTTCGCACAGTAGTGACTTGATCGAGTCTGTCGGTATGAGCGGTTTACTGCCAAGTCTGCCAGCCCATCGAGCGATAGCCGGCGCCTGAGTTACCTGGTGGTGGAGATCCATGAGAAAATTAAATCTTTTATCAGAAAGTACTATTTTTACATGTTGTGTTCGTTAAATCGAAATCATGATTCAAAAATCACATTTATGAAACGCACACGTCGAAGGGGAAGGGACTTGTTGAAGTTCTTCTTGCTCGGGAATCACCATGATGAACATGATCATGTTCTTGATGTACTATCCAGCTACCTAGTACAACATGTTGTGCATGAAGATGGTTGAAGAATGTAGAAGTAGATGATACCACTTCTTCTGCTGGTGCTAATGATTCCTCGTTAATGATGAGTTGTGGTAAGTGCCCCAGCGGTGTCTTGATTAGATGAACGAAGCTTTCAGTCTCCTCAAACGTCTGCAAAGAGCGACATGTTCTGGGGGAAGATGATTTTCCTGGTGTAGCCTTAACTTGAGGATAGAGGGTTCGCCGTTTCTCCACTTTTTTTGCTCCTCTGAAAATTCTTGGAATTCTAACATGGTATTCCGCCACCCCGCCTCTCCGAAGGCATTAAAGAGGGCAACCCGTGCAGGCGTGGCGCGTCCACCACCCTTGAAATATACCAACTCTACGTCCATCCTCTCAAGAACAAGGGCTCCAGAAACACCTTTGCGTATCTGGTTCTGGACGACTAGGACTATGGTTGCGCCTTCCTCGAAAATGCCATGTGAAATTTCTTGTAAGTGAAAACTCACTCTCTCCCGCTTATCGACGTAGTTCACTCGCCGATCGCTTTGTTCGTTTACAAGACAAGGAAAGCTACATAAGAAGGATACCGAGCGTGGTGCACCTTCATCGTCCCGTCAGAAAATTCCACCTGAAGGCGAAGGGGTCGTCATTTTCAGGTTCAAGGTCAAGGGCGTCTCCACATACATTATAAATTTCAATAATTCCATGTCTTATTTCGTGCGTTTCGATCTTTATGTTGCCCGTCGGTTTATAGCAATGATGACGATCTTCCTCGATCTCAAGATACTTTAATGATCGGATCAAGCTTGTTGATGCTTCTGTTGTTTTTCAGGCTCTCCCGTCATTTTTCGTTTTTCTAGAACACAACCTCCTAGTTAATCATGTGCTTTCACAGTGTTCTCAGCGCTCCTCAGGTTACTGCTTCCGCCTTGCGGATCATGTAGTACCTGAATCAACTTCCTACAAGTCTGGTGTGGATTTTGTGGGAATGATGACAGAAAAGGTTTCTAGAGGGAGAGGCCTGGACGGCTCTATCTCGGGGGAGTACGCGAGGAATTTTCTCCGCTGGAGATGTGGGAAGTTTTTGTTTCGTGATTGATTTAGAGAAAGACGGATGATCCTCTATTGCAGTCGAAGTACAAAACGGAGGTATGTCCTTCTATATCATATTGCCGTTGTCTGTGGCATAGTCACGGGACCGGCGTTGGCTGTGGCGTGCAGCAGACCTAGAGACACTCAAGCTCGGCACGTGACAGGCATGGAGGGAGGGAGGCATGGAGGGAGGGAGGGAGGTACCGATCGGCAGGGGGTGAGCCACAGGCTGGCTGTCACAGCGCAGGCGCACCATGTCAACCATCAAACTCTCACTGTATGTGGCCGCCATCTTGTTCTTGTTTTGAAGAGAGCCTCTCACTGCCGATCTCTTGACCTCCAAATGCTTTACCTTGTCACTCTCTGTACTGCCATATTACTTCTCGACCTTCCTGTTCTGCCATACTTCATCTCGACCTTCAAACTTCACATAACCACCACCGGGGTGCACCTTCTCGGACCTTCTTTGCCAGCCACAGCCAGCACCTAAGTACTTTCTCTGTGCCGTCACATCTCTCGACCATCCACCATCTTAGAACCGTCATCAGGGTACCTGTTTTGTGACCTTCAAGGTAGGGGGATCCCAAGTCTGAGACTTCTCGGCTCACTTTGCTTGTTGATCACGATCTTGTGGGCTGGCGTCGATGGGAAAGTTGAGGTTGGCATCCATTGTTTGGCAGCGCTTTTGCTGGCTCTTTGAGCATCTCCAGATGTATCCCAACAGCTGCGTGCCGCGTTTAGGGCCTGGGGCTTCCAGGTTTTCTATAATTGGCTCTATTGTCGTTGGGCTCTTGTTGGTCGCATGTCCTGTTTTTCTGGCATGTTGGGAAGCTCCTCATGCTCGCCTAGAAGAAAGTGGCCAGCTTAATATATATCGATATTCTTCGCACTCCTTCTCTTCCTAGTAGTAGCCAGTGTGGTGGAAGCGTTTCGTGCTTGTATCCTCCCTACACAGTCCAGATGCATGTTCGAGACTCCGCGAAAAGAAAGAAGATAGAAGCAACAATGGCCACCCAGGCAAGGGCAAACCTGACCTTGAGACGCACACTAAAACATGCTTCATCCTTTTTAGGCTAGCCCTTCATAATTTCTCGTTTAGGCGAGCCCGCTTGTACGTTACATTATATACTACTTAGAACTCGCGAAGAGGCCTATGCACAGCTACCGCTTAATCTCTCTCCGTCTTGAGCCAAAATGGCTACGGTAGTACCTTTTTCAATTTTTATAGCAAAGCATGGAAAATAATGGTGGTGGATGCATCAACAGCGCAAAACAGGGCGCTTCTAACCTTCTACTTATTCATTATGAACTGGCTACCCTTCACGTTGTCGAGTAAATATAGTCTTTTCTGCTAGTACAATCTGACGTGTGTGTCTGTGAGCAAAAAAAAAAACGAATGAGGTTCCAAAAATGCTTGCCCATAAATTAGCGCGAATATGACTGGCATCAAACTAAGATGTTGACACTCTCAGGGTACACTCACCGAATACGACGCCGCGCGGTAGTATTCGAAGCCATCTCAACCCTGATCGAGATAATTCTGGCGCCAACAGGATCATAATGATTTTTACAAAGAGCACGAACAAGGTGGTATAATTTGTAATTGTATGTACTTATTGCATAAAAGTCACGTAATACTTCTCCAATGGATTTGCTTTCTTCGTTCCTAAATTATTCTAAGAAAGACGTTACAAGGGAGCATCGAAATGGAGAGACGTCTCCAGCTGACAGTCACGCCATCACTCAGCGACTTCGTGTAAGATCATCCATGGTGCTTCTCCTCGAAGTATATGTAAATATCTATATCACAGAAGCTCCTACTTCATGTACAAAATTAGTCATCGACGTACAACGGCTTCGGCTCTAGATGATAAAAATAGTTTTATGATTTACAATCACATTCACCCACGAGACATGATAGAAATTTCTTGCAAAAATGAATAAACTATGTATGTTCATGTTGCTCAAGCATTGCCAATATCCTGCTATTCTGTAGCAATTGCATGTACCGCCAGCACTTTCCGCACGCTGTTGAGTCGCGTGCAAAAATCTAAGTAGTATCATTCATCCAGCAACTTGCTCTACTTGCTTCGACCGCGAGCAATGTCCAATAAGTTGCACATTCATAAATCTTGGTGCCAAGTCCAAACTCGCTAACTGCTTTCTTGGAAAGAGTGCAAGTCTCACGCCTTCTTCGATCGACCAGGGGTCTTCGATATATTCCTCCTGACGCGCCGTAATCTTCCCCCTGTTTCCTTTCGCCATATATTTATATAAATTTCAGGGTCCAGGGTCACGCCCCCTCCCCCCCGGACGGCGGGGGGGGCGGCCTTTTGGCCTAGTCTCTTGGGGGTGGGAGGCCTCGAAAGGGGGACGCTCTCCCTCCCGGCTGTCCGCATGTATTCGAAAGACTGCTTATTTGCTGGCCCCTCTCCGGTCCGCGCCAGCGTGCCAGGGGTGGAGAGCCGTGCGTTCTGTACCCGACCGAACCCGGCCGGGCAACCGTCCCCGGTTGCCCCGACCCTCCTGGCCCTTGGCCTTCAGCCTGCTCGCTCTTGCCGCGCATTTGATGAGCGAGGGGCCCTCAGGGCAACCCAGCATAAGGGGCCAAGCCTCGAGACCGTGGCCGCCTTCTATCCCGGTGACCTCCTACCTGCTAAGGTCGGCAGAAGACGGGACGCCTGTAGGGTACACGCAGAGAGCCGCAAGGGGGCCCCGGCTTCCATTATCGACGCCTTCCACCCCAAGAATCCGCGAAAAACCGCGCGGAAGAGTGCGCGCAAGCGCCACCACAAGGCCATCCATAGGGGGGGAGGGGGGAGCCGGGAGGAAAGGGGCCTTGCGTGCCTGATGTATCAACATATTTATAAATCTTGATAAATTCCAAATTTTGCACATGTAAAGTACAGTCATTTTGGATCGAAAAGATGAAGAAGGCAGAGATAAAGAAGACACTGGCACTCTGACTTTTGTTTGAGAAAATGAAAATTAAATTTCATCACAAGAAGTAAAAGTAAATACACTACTGGTAAAGGGCAAAGACATCACGACCAGCGAGTCCCGACTTGGACAGATAAGTACATTTTTCATAACCATAAGTAGTATCACATATAATGGCCAGTGTGCGTGATCGGCGAGGGGAGCATTACGCTCAACCCGAGCCACATCAGGTACTAGAGACACACACAAATAGAAATACACGGCAGGAAAATAATCCGAGTCCGACGAAAACATATGATCATGCTAGTATTGAAAACAAAAGAAAAGTGAGCAGCTTCATGGAAATTATTGCAATAAGACCATAGTAGATGTAGATATGTACTTAGTACTACAATATAGCGAATTATAATCAATACGTTCATGTTCATGATGTATAAAGTAGTACACACATGGACGCAAAAAACAATTATATGTATTTTAATATCCACGAGGAACAGGCTGTCATGTTAGTCTTTGACTCCACAAAATCTAAGGTAGTGCTGGAGCTAGTGTAGTTGTGGAGGCCAGCTGAGTGACCTGAAGAAACGCTTTTCATGGCGAAGTATGGGTAAATGTTCACATGACAAGAACTTTTTAAGAATGATGAGGCATCTTCTAAAACTAAAACTAAAGAGATGTCCTAGTAATAGTCGACGTCTTCTTTCAATCTAACTTGGAGTTACAAGGCACTTCTAACAGAAATACGAAGAGATAATCGTGTACTCAGGACTTGTGGAAATGGAATGTCAGCAACTTTGATTTCTCCCAACAAGTGCAGGTGAGCTCCGCATCCAAAATGAATGATGTCGTCGATTTTCGCGCGGCTGCCACGGACGATCCTGCGCTGCCGCTGCTGTCGGTTCCCATTTCTCGTCTTTGAGTTTTATTAGAGGGCTGAAAGTCATGCTCAACGAAGAAAAAGGAATCTTCTATTAAGTTGTGTCAAAAAAATGGTCCTCCTCGTTACAGCACAAGTTGTAGTACTAGTAGAAGTAGAAGTTGTAGCAGAACCTCCTTTTGTCGTTGTCCTCCTTGTTTCATAAAACAAATCAGGAAAAACATGGCGGAAGTTTGCCTCCTCGGTTGAGTCGCGCAGGTCCAAAATCACGTGGTGGGCCTGGAAGTTTACATTCACATCTTTGTCAGCCTGACCAAGAAGATCCTCCTCGTCACGGTCAGCAGCATCGCCATCACGAAGATCCTCGCCATGTCTTAGAACTTGACGGTCATCTTCATCATGTTCCTCAATGACATCTTCAGGATCAGCACCTCGATCTCCAGTATACAAATCGATGCTGTGGAGGACTCGGTTGCTTTGGTTTTCTCGCTCCAAAAACTGGGCTACTTTCTCAACTCGAGCACCAGCCGGATGTTGCTCACGAACTCGTCGAGCGCCGGCGAGAGCTGGCGGATTTTGAAGCAGCAATTTACATTAGAAGAGTCGTGAACAGGGAACAGTACTCGGGGACAGCACTAGCGGAACGACAGAGGCATATTTTTTGCATCAACTACAGTGCTACTCAACATTAAAATACATCGGGTGGTCGAAGTTGTACTATGTGTACAAAATAATTTTTCACTTTGAAGATGATAATGAATGTTGCTGGTAGTAGATGAAATATAACGGCTACACGACACGACCTTCTAGATGATATGATCCTCCTAGAAGAAGAAAAAAATCAAGAAAACTTGTTAAAAATCTCCTTCTTCATAAGTTCCGGGATGGCGGACATCGGTACTCATTTTTCGCCAGTAGTCTCGAGTTCTTCGGAAGTGCTGTCCGCTATCGTCAGTCCCCTCAAACCTTCTTGGGAAACGATGTCGCATCTCGGAAGAGAGTCCGAGAACGTTCACTGGATTGCCGTTATCCGTCGGACGCCTCAGTGCCGCTTGCAGCTTTTCGAAGAAAAAAGACCAACGCGTCCCCTCTCCGAGCTTTTCGGCTAGACATTTTTTCATCGTCTCTTCCGTGATCGGCGCACAAAGTTGTCCACGTGAAGTACGGCCAGTCTTGATCTTCTTGATGCCCATGCCTCCACTTCGAGTAGATGAAGACAGTTGTGAAGTAGTAGGACTAGCACTAGCTGAGCCACCGCGATACCCCCTAGTACAAGAAGCGTCCCTAGCACCGCCCTGCTCTGCTCGACCAAGGTCTTGCATCTCGTTCAGCTTGAAAACGCAGAAATCTTCCACTTGATTCAACAACGATTTCTGGTTAGCGTGTGCAAGACGGCGACGACAAGTTGACGTCGATGATGATGCTCCTTGTTCTTGCAGCGACTGGTGTAATCGGTCACGCTCCTTTGAGATGACTTTCCACAACTCAGTGAAGCGGGCATCGCGTTCCTTTCGCTGGAACAACCCGTCGCGCGGTTGTTGTCCTCGTTGTCCATTGTTCTTGTAGCCGTCCACGACCATCTGGTGCCGCGATGAAAAAGACCCAACTACTGGCATGTTGCCCTCGCTTACTCTGGTCAACGTATTCATCACGCGCAAAATATTGACCAACGGATCCGAAGGCTTCTTAATGAAAGTCGCGACGATAGTGCCTTCTCGTCGTGGTGCCAGTTGTACAATCGTGCCTTTCCGCTCATCATGTGCTACTTGTTCTTGGTCTTGACCCCGTTCTTCTACTGCAACGGTTGGTGGATCTTCCAGAGCAGGGGCCTCAGCTCCTCCGGCAACTCGAGCCGCATCTTCAACCCGATTTAGATGAAGTACTGGCTCCACCGTAGCACTAGCCGTATACGAGAAACCTGATGATGCGCAACTACAAGTGTAAGTGGTTCGCTGTACGTCAACTTTACTAGTTTCTGTTTTTCTGTCGTTGTCTACTTGATCTGCCGGAGACGGCTCAGAATCAGAGTGTTGCTCAGGGCGGGACTCTGGGGAAAGCGGGTCCGTCTCATCGCTATCTGGGGAGACTTTGGAGGAACCCATTACCGCAGCTTTTCGTTCTCTTGTTCTTCTCAGCCTCGCCGTGCACTGCCGCAGCATAGCCCTTGCGGCCGCGCTGCCTCGTTCAGGAAGAGATTTTGACTTTGAGGACTTGTTTCTCGGGGAAATCTCGTCCAATGTTGTAGGACTAGAAGCACCTCCTGTGCTAGATGCGCTTCCAAGAGCATCCTCCTCCTGCACCCGCTCGCGCTTGTCGCTACGCGACTGCAACGCCGCAGAGCTACTGGATGACGACGGAGGCCAAGCAAAAGATGGCTGTAAAGATGAGGTCTTTTCTAGTCCTTCTGGGTGGAGCTGACGGCCAGCTCCTAGTGCATGGCCCTGAACAAGTAATACACTTCCTCGCAGCGGTGGCAATTTTTGTTCCCCGACAGCGTCACTTTTGTTTGATTGTAGTAGTCCTCCTGCTGCGAGGCCTCTTTTTGTGCCTTGAATGATCAGGTTGGACAAGCACGGCCTCTTAATCTTATGTCGCTCTCCTCGTTGTTCTACTGGTGCACTATTTTTTGTTGTCTCATCTGGTTGTGTGCACGGCGATTTTTCAGGCCACTTTCTATCTCTTTGTGAGATGTCAGAACGACGTGGCTCTTCCCACAGCGCAACTCCCACCTGCTCTACATCTCGCGCCTCATCATCTTCTTGTTCCCGGCGGCCGTGGAGTTGATCATGATCATATGGCTCATTTAGTAGCGGCATCTGCCACGACGGATGAAGTGTATTGCTGCTCGCCCCTTTACCGTCAGCATTCGGGTTTTGTCTCGGTTCTGAATCAGGAGGCGCAGAGGAGGCTTTTGCTCCAGTGAAGACTAACGCACCGGAAGTACAATAGGGGGTCTTTGACGAGCCTAGTGTAGTATTTTTAGCCTTCTTTTGCTCCACTTGCAGCTGGTCTCCTACTTGAAGCTTGTTGTAGGCTTGCTCCTGTGTGGTTCTGGTTGCTGTTGCAGTTGTACTTGTATAATTGTTTATATCAGTCAACATTAGCGCTTGCCTTAATTCATCTTGGAGAGCATCTTTGGCGTGCTTTCCCCTCAGGAAAAGGCTCCAGGATGCTTCTCAAGATCGATGAATTAAAGGAAGCCTTAACAACATCTCATTCAGGATTGGCGAAGATGTCGACCAGGTGGTGTTGATTTTAGAACTGCTTCTGGAGGCAACAGTCGCTCCTTGTCGCACCAGCGGTGGCTCCCGCTCCTCGTCCACCCTGTATTCTGATTGGAACAATATACCAGGCGAACAATCAGCATCCTGATCGGCTCCCTCGGCAGTTTGTGAAGAAGAAAGCTGGTGCGGCGAGGAGGTGCCAAGTGATAGTTGTTGCCCCTTCCTCCTGATTGTCATGCTGCGATCACGAAGATCCTGCTCATCTTCTTGTTCTCCTCCTGCTGCTTCTAAGTAGAGACCTTCCGCCAGGCGCGCCTCTTCTTGTTCTTCTGGACGATGAAGTTGTAGATCATCTTCAGATGATGGAGGATCTTTCTCTACTTCTTCTAGCACACGACCTCCGGTTGTTGTTGTACCTTGATGTCCTCGTGCACGACCTTGTAGTTCTTGTTGTTTTTCAACATCACACTCTTCAAGTAGAACAGGTTCGTTTGCCAACAATAGCCTCAGTGTCTTGTGTCGTTGTGCCGCGAGGCTCCTGGTATCGTAATGGGTACTGTACTCTTCCTCTCGCGGCAGCGCCACACGCATTGTTGTGAACAACAAAAAACTGTCGACGTGTTCACCAGAAGAAGCCGCGCACTTCTCGCAGATGAAGTAGTTCACTCTGAGCTTACAACACGCATCACCAGCGGCGCAAAGACGAACAGGAGGACTCTCAACACAACTGCTCGCCAAACAAATGCAGGTGGAAGGGCTCCTCATACTCGAAGATGGTGGAGTCCCACAAAGAGAATCACGAGCGGGCGCGCAAGACGCGCACCGTGAAGAATGTCCTCGAGCATGCGCGGCTGGGACAGGACGACCTGTTCCCGCGGCAGATGAAGATGGAAATAGTGCAGAAGTTGAACATAGAGTACTTCTCATTTGCTGTAGCTGCATAGGACTGAGAAATAGAGAGGAGTGGTGCTCCTTGAGGTACTTTTGAAGCTCTCTTACAGTCCAGTCTGGCCAGTTCTGTGTCTTGGGATTGCTGCTACTCAGCACGATTTCCTCACCCCCACTTGGTGTCGTAATGCGTAATGTAGTTGCGCAGAGCTGTTCCTCAGAAGCATCATGTTGAAGCTGTTGATTAGATGTTGAACAACTTCTGCTGATCGCGTCACTGTCTTGTTCTAGAAAAGAAGGACAACGAGCATCGTGTTGACGCCAAATGCGCGCTCGTGGATACATTACAGCTTCGCCCTCGTCTGAGTCTTCGCCGTAAGATGACAAGCTTCGTCTTTCACCATCGTTGGAACTATTGTGATCTCCCACATCTTCGCGTGCATCGTAATCTTCGCGTGCATCGTTCGAGTCTGTAGGTGGGGTGGTGGCTGGAGGTGAGATTATTGCAGGTTGTAATCCAAAAGGGGTGGTCGCTTCTCGGCCTTCTCCTCCTGGTGTTCTAGCCGCCTCAACGAAAAATCTGGTAGTTCTATATGATGTCTGCTGGTGCGGGTCCTGCTCGTCGTCCTGCAGCTCTTGTAACAAGAGCAAGAAGAATGAGAAGATGAAGAAGCTCCCGACTTCTAGTGGTACTAGTAGTTTTCTCATGTAGGACGACAACGACGATGTCTTCTTCCCGTTGAACCTCATCTGGAAGAAGGCAATAGTACAATACGACACGCTTTCTTAGATTTAGTCCTAGCTTTTCTGCCAGATGAGAGCATTTCTTTGTCTCGCACTAGCACGGCGTTCGCCGATGAGAGCATTTGTCTCGAACTCGATTGTCAACGGCAAGCATGTTTTCTTGTCGAGTACATTAAAATTCGAAGACCTTAAAAATGATAGTTATATATAGTATGTATGACTATGAGTATCTTGATTAATTCCTCAAGTACTATGTTACTACTGCAAGTGGTGCCAGCGGTGTATTGGCGGGACGACCTATCTTCATAGAGATCGCGCAGATATTTCAGTTGTTCCATTCTAAAACGGGGCGTCGAGATCAATTTTCGCTTTTTCGGATTGAAGCATCTTCAATAGCGCAAGAAGATGATACGGCAAGGACAGCTGCGACTAGTCCTCACGATCATTATGATTATCACACGGCTTCTGATTGAAGAAAATGAAACCCGAGGATAGTACAAGGATGGAATTTATTTTACACGTGTTGCTAAAAAATGTAGGCATCTCCTGGCTTCTCATCCTGGTTGAGTCAAACCACGCATGTATCGTTGTCGCTCACGTTCAACCCGCCGTAACCGAAAGAACCGGATACAAAAATGATAAAGAGCAAGAGGGTTGAGTTAGCTGCTTACAAGTAACTTGTCTGGTGATGCTACTGGTGCCCGAGGGTCGTCGGCCCTCGTCCTCGGTATTCTTTTATATAAATCTTCGCACTTACTAGGATAGAAATACTAGTAGATCATGCAGATGAAAAGTACGTCTAGCATCAAGTATAACACGTAGGTCCTCGTAGTAGTACTACATTCAATGAAGCATCACATCATGTATCCTTCAGCGACATAGTTCTTTACGAGTTCTACTTCGGCGAGGCATTTCTCTCGATGCGCCTTGACGAGAGGAAAATTGTCCAAGTATTCTGGCGGAATACCATCAAACTCGCCGGATGCGACCATTGAGGTTACCATCAGCACGTAGCAAGACTTAGAAATTTTCATTTAACTGAAACAAGAAAAATTTCAACTAGAAGAATTGTGAGATCCTCGTCTTCATCTTAGTCTTGACCTTGTTGGTAGAATCAATTAAGCAGCTGTAGTAGTAGTACCCAGTCTATGACTTGTTCACAACGTTCTTACTCAACAACACCAGCAGCGATGAAGAACAAAGTTGTATTTCTATTACAGTCAATTAGCATTACCTTACTCATCTAACAAGAAACTTCATCAATTTCTGCGTCGGAGTGAGAGCACTACCGAGTAAAAGGACTTTAACTTCTTCTCTTAAAATCGGCCAGTCCGTAAGTCGATCCTCGTATGAAAAAGCTCGTTGATGCATTAGCTGCGAACTTCGATTCCAAATAGGTCATAGCTTGCTTCATGAAACCCTCTGAGTACTCTTTGCGTTTCTGCAGTTTCACTTCCGTGTCTGGGTCGCTTGGCGATCTCGCGAGAATCTCTTGAGGCATTAGAAGATACTAGGTACTATTAAACCAAGAACTTCTACATCTACAGATAGTAGAACACAACAACATTAAAAATGTGGTTCTAGTACAAGAACAGATAGAACATGACTCATGATCATGTGGCTGTATAAAAACAGTACTACTTGTTCATCTCTACTATTGTTCATAAAGCAACGTCGATAATTTCTTCCGTTAGAGCCATGAGTTCATAAAGCAACGTCGATGATTTCTTCCGTTAGAAGTTGATCCATCGGGTCCGAAGGGTAGAGCGGGTTCGCACCTTGTTTCGCCGCCCATCGTGCGATACAAGGTGTTTGGGTTATCTAGGAAGAAGGACGATGTGGTGCAGAATTTCAAGAACAAGGACGATGTGGTGCAAAGTACTAACGTGCAAAACAATGGTGTGTTTGAGTTAAATCTAGGAAGGAAGTAGAATTTCAACAAGGACGACGTGCAGTTGATATTTCTTTTCTTCAAGATCTAGAATTGCAGTTGTGAGGAGCAAGCAAGTGCAAGCACTTGGCATATTATAGTAAACAACTGTCTGGAAGAAGTCGAGGATGGATCAAGTAGGAAATATATCATTATGGTCGTCCTCGTGGACTTCTGACTTTATAGACCAATTGAAAAGAAGATCATCGCATCATCATGTAATATACACCACCCCCCTGTCAGCCTCAGCTCCTTCCTCAAGCAATCGTAACACATGTAAGGATTGAGATCACTACTCTATGAATCCACAAACGCTGCTGCAGCCGGGAGGAGCAATGGCAATCTTCGTAACAAAATAGACATTCCTTATCGTCCTTGTTCTTGTTGTTTTTCTTTTTTCTGAATCTCCAAGTACCACTTTTCCTTCCGGCATTTCTAGTTGCGGCAGATAGCCCATCGGAGTTTTCAAAGCGCAGTCGGCTTCTCCCGCTGCGTGCTTCTTCTTTTCAGCACTGGTGTTAGACGAGCTTATTGACGTCCCCAGAGACGTTTTTACAGCGCCTTCAGCTAGGTACTAATAAGTTGTACTTGTATTGATGTGCAACTTCTCAAAGTCTGGTACAACTGTTGCCCTGTTGTCCCCCCCGCGGATGACATCCATTTCAAGTCTCAAAAGTATTGTGGCTGTCGTGACGTACCTAGCATGTACAAGTACATGTACTTAACGTAAGTACATTATTCATAATGTTCCCTGAAACAAATAGTGAAGCCCCTTCATAACAAACTCATCAAAGGTGAGCATGACGTTATCCCAGCCATCCTTTCCGTATGCGTTGAAGAGTGCCATCCGAGCGCCCGTAACACGGCCAGCGGCCTTAAAATAAACCAATGTGGGTTTGGAAGGAGCCATTTTATTTGTCGTCGTTGTCCTCGTTCGTTCTTGTTCTTGTAGGATGAAAAAATAATGTCAGAATAAGTTGTAATAAATATAAAATGTGGTCTTCGTTATAGAAATATGGTCGTTATCGTTGTAAGGCCAGTTACTACTTAAGTCGTTGTTCTTGTGACTAGCAGGAAAGAACAACTACTCAATTACGTGACACGTAATACATGTGTTGTTTTCGATGCAACAAGTGTGTCAAGCGCGAGAGAGAGAGCTCCCAATGAAGAGGTCAATGACCATGACCAAGCGAAAGTTGTGACCTCCGTGATGCACTGGTGCCTGGATATTGTTGAAATCACTCTTGTTGATTATTTGTCGCCCCGCGTTCTTTGATGCCTCTCGGGCGATAATAGGATAGGATAGGAGTTGGCTCACCTGCGACAAGGTAAGCGTATAGGCATGACGCGCCATCAGAGTGAACGGAAAAAAACCGAGGCATGCGCTGAGTGCATGGTGTGACCGACTTCTTTTCGCTGCTTTCTATTTCCTGGGATTATGATTCGATTTCCTTCTTGTGTTTCATCTAAGATCGTCCTCCTGCTACCCTGCTAGCATCAATAATATGATGAAACATCATCTTCTGAAGCATTCAAATTGACCACGACTCAATTCCCCAGTCACCCGTTCCGCCCGCATCACCAAACTGACCACTTCGAGAGTGTAGCAAGTTGGTCCATCTCGAGCCAGCGCCGCATTCTGGTCCAGCTCGACCAGGAGACATCCAAGAAATATGGATACAATTGTTCTTTCCAAAATTTGAAAAAAAATTTACTGGTTCTCACTAGAGCATAATCCGAAGACCATTATTGACTAAGTGTAAAAGATACTCCTGAACGGTGATAATACGACGACAACTGCCCTCTAAAACTCTCAAGAAGGAAAATCGTTCATACTTATTTATAATATATCATTATAACCATTTACAACTGTTATCGATCTTAAGAAGGTACTTTCATTACTCCATGATAGACGGAAGATATGTTATCTTCAAGGACTCATTTCTGACGATCAAGATTTTCTGTAACACTCGAGGATATACAGGTCTCTCGAGGTGCTGGCACGACAAGCAATATTCCTACTTTTTAGTTACCTTAATACCACGTACCACGTACTAACTATGTATACGCTCTATCTTTTAAGACTTCATCTAAAATCAGGATGACGATCAACGATGTTTAACTTTGACATCAAATGATCAATTACAATTATTTCACTGAGATATTCCTAAGACTGTGCTTCTTTCATCTGTTTCTCCTGTTTTGTTGTCCAAGATTTTTAGATACGGATACGTCGAATCTACCCCGACTATGAATTCATCTTCAACAAAGAGCTGAAGACAAGTATTACATCTAGTACTTTTGAGTAACTACGATAACCATGATCATCAACTGCTTTTTAATTCATTTTTCTACCCACTCTCACAATAAAAAAACTGGAATACAAAGAAATTGAAATCTTTTTTGGCAACATCTACTTGGAGGTGTGAGGACATAACGACCGTTGAGAAAGAGAGGAACGCACCAAGAAGAAGATACACCCATTTTACAGATAACCATGATCACGACGGTTTTTTTTTTGTGTGGGCCGCACTAGGAAAACTAGCGGACGCAATTGGCTACTGAAGAGCCAACAATAAACAAGACTACGACCTAACTACTTTCGAATGAAAAACGACCCAACTAGTACAACTCTCGTTGCTGGATGAATAAGATATATTCATAATTCTATTCAAAAATCATATTCAAAAATCATATTCGGACTTAATATTTACAAAAAAGAAATCATCAATTATGCTTGTTCTGCAGTGGATATCAACGGCAACCTTCACACCTTCGCTTCTACGTACAACGATTGAAACACCGGAAAGAATTCAAAAATGACAACCTTCAGCAAAAATCCTGCTTCCTCACGAAAAGGCTTTATGGAAAAGAACAGAATCGGAAAGAACTTTTCCGAAGCTCAATCACGACAATAAAAACAAGAATGCAGCCTGAAAATTTTCTTGTTAAGAGGTGTAAACTCACCCGATATCAGAAGAAAGGAGCAACGACATAAAAATTCATATTGATAGCTTTGACTAGTAAATCAATAATCAATCTTTAGAAGTATACTATAAATATACAAGGATAATCTTAAGAACGACTTGTAGCTGCACTACACGAGCTCCACATCTTCCACACCCACTTTTCATTTTCTACAGAAAAGCTAGTACTTCATCTACCACATTTGCAAAAGCTACCACGACACAGCTGCTCCACCTGCATCTCCGTCCTTCCCTTTCTATTTCGTTTGCATCCGTTTATTTTCGCACATTCCCGCACCAGTCAACATCAACAGCAGTGGAGATGGCTCCACCCATCCACGAGTTTCTTCACCCCGCGAAAACATTCTGCTCCACAACCTATAATGATGCCCCAAAACGACTTCATTTTCGTCGAGGCACATTCCCAACTTCTAAATCATGACCACGACAAGATGAAAGAACAATAACCCTTCACGAATCATCTTCAGGATGACCACATCTTCTTCATCAAGATGAATGACACTCCCTTCATGTTGAATCATCTCCAGGATGACAACAAAATCGACAACATCCGCAACCATCTGCAGCATTTCACGTGAACAAGGCTTCTTCAACAGAGAGTAGCATTACCCGCACGCGCGAGACTGCTACGCGAGATGCTGGGGTAAGCCGCAACCTGGACAGCGACCGGCGAAGAGGTTCCGAACCATCTCAACTGTGGATCCCAGGGCATCCTCGCTGTGCTAGCGCTCCGCAAGAGAGGCGCCCACGCAGTGGCAGCAATCTCCCAACACCCAAGATTTTAGAAGGAGCGAATCGAAATCGTCAGGATTCATAGAGTCTGTATTTATTCATAGAGCAGTTCATAGGGGTGCCAGATCCGGGATGGGATGGATCGGATGGATCGGATGGAACGGGTGGACTTTCCACCATTTCAAGTAGGATCGGAAGAATCAGGGGGGTCCAGCCGATCCATCCAACTCCAAGTCCATCCTACATCCGTTCTATAAACTACTCTACTATTAGATAGTTATTTTCATTCATAGATAGTTTTTACCAGTCATAGACTGTTAGTGGAAGAATGCTAATCATCCAGTAGGGCAGACACAACTAGGTCCATCCAAGCAAAGCACCTACAACAAGTACAAATCTACGTGGTCCTGGGGGCTTGTTGGTTCTTTAGTAAGTACATTACACCTAAGTATGTATTTCTATTTTCTTCTTCGTAACAGCAATAGTAGATCGCAATTCGATCCGGGTGCCATTTGAGGCCTTGTTGTTGATTGTCCCGCAAATAGTTGCGTGTCTCGAAGATCCGGCCACGTGATTCGCCTCGCAAAATGTCCATACAGGATTTTGGTTTCAATCCCACCCCAGCTTGCTCGCCACCGTTGTTCGGCATTTTAGCCGCTGAGGCACTGCGTTTTCTTAGCAAGAGCATCAATGGTTGTAGTTTTTCATGTTCATCATGGCTCTTTTCAAAAATTTCATCTAATTATTCTAGAAGCTCTCTCGCACTTCTTCCACGTGGTCAAGGATCATTTTTATTCCACAACTTCTTAGTCCTTGTTGATCTCTCCTTAACTTTTGCTGTACTTCTATGCGTTGTCGGATAGCATCGTGTCGATCGCAACCGGGGTGACTACCCTCTTCGACGAGCTCCGTCTCCATCATCTTCTGCCAACAGGGCATGCCACCACAGGCCGTCGTTTCTGGAGGCAACAACTTGTAATATCCAGTCGCACCGCCATGGACACCGGTGGAAACCTTGTTGTTGTAGTTCATATTTATTATAATGTTGATGCTCATCTAGGATTCTTAGACTGAAATAAAGTGCGAAAAAATCGAGTACGTATTGTAGTTCCCCTTGCCACTCTTTGCAAGTACTTAGTTAGTATCTTCAAAGCAACCACATAGACGAGCACATCCGTTGTATGTTCTACTTCTAGTACGCGTATGAATTCGGGCAGGCTGCGAAGGACGTTTACGCGCGTGTATCCGAGGTTGTCCTCCTCTGGAGCGCAGTTTTGGTTCATGATCGATCCAGAAGTGGTCGCGGTTTGCTCGAGGACCGTCGGTTGGTAGTCCCTGCAAGGGACCCAGTTCCTGTCATTCGAAGTGGGACTCAGGTCACAAGCCGGAGCCGTTCCGTCCGCGTGCGCAACGTATGGTGTCGTAATGCCTCCGCTTTGTGATCCTGTAGCTCCTGTAGTACAGGTGTTCGGGACGTTCGAATATACCTGAGGAGTTGCTCCTCCAGAAGAGTTACCGGACGAAGACCCTTCATCTCCCGATTTATTAGAGCTCCTGCTCAATTATAAACGTATCTATAGCTATATTCTTCAACGGATCTATATTCTTCGGATTCCTTCAACGTATCTTCTTCAGATTCATATAAGGCGATCAGTCCCTAGTAGAATAGAAGAAAACGACCTACTAGTAACAAGATCTTCAGACTCAAATGACCTGAGTACTTAGAAAAATAGAAGAAAATAGAAGAGGACCGTTGGAAACAAACATATTCTTGGAATTCTTGCATCAAGAAGCCTTAACGGTGGATGACGTGTTGTTGCTGCCAGTACTATTGCCTGAATTTTCATCTGTTTGCTGCTCCTGAACAGGTTTACTTGGATCACCACCGGTGACAGCTACTCCTTCAGGAGTCAAAAAACCCGTCCACGTGCTCCAATTTCGGGAAGGCGGAAGGCGATTGCGATGCTCCACCAAAACCGCCATCCACGCCTTTGCACCTGTGGGATGGCTTCCAACTAACCATTTTCCGCTTCGGGAGTAGAGAAACACGTCGAGTGACGTACTCGTGAAACTTGTAGCTGGAGCTGGTGTTGTAGCTGGAGCTGGAGTTGTCGCTACCGGTGCACCAGTAGAGTTGCTTATATTAGAAGCTGTCTCTTTGGAAGAATACCACTCAAGTTGTTGCGACATCATCATACGTCTTTGGTGCTCATTCTCTACCAATGGCAAGAAGACAAGCGAAGATATTAGAATAATAAGATGAACCTATTTTTAGAATAATTTATTTAAGGGTGGCAGATCCGGAATGGGATGGATCGGATGGACTTCCCACCATTTAAAGTAGGACCGGAAGCCTCAGGGGGGCCCATCCGATCCATCCAAGTCCATCCTACATCCGTTCTATAAACTATTCTAAGATATTACAGTAAAAACGAACGGTTGTTGTATCTTTGGAAGTACTTACAGTTCTTGGCGGATAACGAGGCTCAGGAACATTTTTTAGCTCGAGTCGTTGCTAGAAGACGTTGAAATGAATTAGCAAAGTTGTAGAAGAATAGAATCATGTTGAACATTTGATATGAGAACCATTTCCTGCTCTAACAAATTGATATAATACCTTGATCACCACAACCACTGATTTTGAGTAGATTGAAACACAACAAACCAAGCAAAAACATACAAAGATGAGAGCCTTAATATTTCCAGTACCTGCTGTACTAGTTCCACTCCCACCAGGAGAGGGTGCAGATGAAGTAGTTGTGTTTAACGTGGGAGACGCGTTGGCCGGAGCGGAGTTAGGTAGAGGGTTTCCCGTCCACGTGTTCAGGAGGATGGCTTGTTTTATCGGACAGAAGACATCTTGAATCATATTATGCTGTATTGGGAGTGCTGCGGTTAATGACCCCACCAAAGAAAAGGTCGATGCTGGAGGTGCTGGGCCTCCCAGTCCGCCTACGCCCGTCGTGCCATTAGTTGTCGTTGTCTCTTTAGAGGTAGTCGTAGTATCTTCTCTAATTAAAAGTACTTAACATTTTTAATAAGTTGTACTTGTTGTACTTGTCAAGTACGTCAAGCTTTCATCTTCCCAAGGTTGTCCCTTAACTCCATGATACGGACCTGCTCCTGATGTCGGAAAACTGTTCGCAAGGTGCTGTTGATGGCCGCCTTGGCGTGGTGTGCCAATACAAGACGTTGGACCAAGCGGAAGCGGGAGGCCATCCACTGCAGTTCCAGGTGCGAGACTGCCAGCAGCAGCGCGCTTCTTCGGAGAGAGCAGGAAACCGCCAGCGGGAACTCCTTTACTCGCGAAGAGGCGCTGCGACGGGATGCGAGGTGGCGAACACGGGCTTCCCCCTCCTCCTCCTCCGCCTCCGGCAGCCGCTGGAGCAATGCCGCGTGGACTATATTAGACCTCGCGCGAATCCGTCTCCAGGCTGATCCTGGAGCTCTTTTTCCCTTAAAAAGCCCTTCCAGGATGCCTCTGAGTCTGATGGTGGATTAGGGGAAGCCGTAACTATACTGGCCGGCTAGCGGAGTGCAACCTGTCGATGTTGTCACTGTGCCACCAGCTGGCGGCATCACGCCATACGTCGCAAGAGCTGCGACGCTGGCGCTTCCGGCCAACGCAGCCGCGCTATTCATTGCGGTGTTCAAAGTGGTGCCAGGAGTGCAACCTGCTCCTAAAAGTCCAGCCGCGGGGCCTACTAGCGCTAGCGGACCTCCTGCTCCTCCAGCGTTAGCACTTCTATTTATTGATGGCGGCCCCACTAGATGACTGCCCGTGCTACTATTTGGCGGCGGGGGCGCCGGCGACGGACCGAAAAGAAAACTTTTTTTTGTTGGCATTGTACTCCTTGGCGGAGTCAGAGTGCCGCCAACCGATGAGGAAGTGCCTCCAACAGAAGCAGACTTGCGTTTTGCGCGTCGGACCGGTGTTGACGCATGTTGATGTTGAGCACTGTAGTTGGTCGTACCAGTAGCACTCGTACTGGAGGACAAAACTGGGGGCGCAACACCATTTCCTGTTGCACTACCTCCCATTTCCGTAGTACTGGAGGAGGAGACCAAAGATGACTTTAAATCCAACTGTGATCCAGTGATGCTGTTCTGTTCACCAGCCGGAGGCGCTCCAAACACCGAAGACGTCCCGAGAGCGACAGCGTTTGTCCCAGCAGCTGCATTTGTGGTCCCATTTCCGTTGATACAAGTGGAACTGCCAGTGTTGCTGCAAAACGCGAAGGCTCCACTTCCTCCACCTCCTAGATGAGTGCCTCCAACCAGAGTGTTGGTCGTCGAGACGACGTCCGGCGCCGGTCCCATGTAGTATCCCGGTGGCGGCGCTGCGCAGTTGCTGTGTACGGCCACCGACTTCAACCGACGCCAAATCGGTAAGCCTTCGCGTTCGAGCAAGTTTTTTCCGTCGCTAGTCTGAGGGACATTGCGGAACTCACTTCGCACTAGCTGAAAAACGCCAGCACACACACCGCGATGCGTGAAGCTCTCGATGTGAATGAACTCTGGGGGCAAAAACTCCTCCTCCACTGGCGAACGGAAGCGAGATTTAATCGCGTTGTACGAACCGCTTTTTCCGCCAGGGACATTAGAGAATGCTCGTCAGAGTCAACAAACGCAAGGACAGGAAATAGCTTACGCATTCGCATGTTGTGACTCAACACCATGATCGAATATTGACTTCAAGATAGAAGATTCTAGTAATCTGTCGCGACACTCTATAATTCCACTTTCATCTATTACCTTTGCACGCCTTAACCAAAATGTTCAACTGCGCTTCCATTTCGGATTCTGGCGCAGTTCCTCCGATCATTTCGTTTTGACTTGCTGCTTCTGCTCCTTCCACAGCCGCAGCTGATCCGGGGTCAGGCAAAGGCACAGTAAATTCTGAGATTTGAATGCGTTCATCAGGCGTCCATTTTCCTTTTCCAGCGTGCTGCACCCATTCCAGCATTTTTTCCGGCATCGCACCCTTATGCGCGTGTTGCGACAAAATCCACCCTGACGTCTTTGATGGTCCGACCATCCATTTCCCACTGTTCGCAGAGAAAAGGTACTTCTCCTCCGTCCCTGCCATAGTGCCCCGCCAGCACGGCAAGTTCATGTGCGGCTCGCGCTGCACGACGAATGTTAGAAGAAGACTGAAATTCAAGAACAAAATCACTCACCTACTCTCCTTTTATGTTGACTCTCCTCATGCTAAGTTCATCTCTGCAAGCACGAGGACGCCCTGCAGCATGATGTGACGCCTTCTTCTATCTAAGATTCGTTTACATGATTTCGAGTTCATTGTCAACAACCTCCAGGCCATGATGGTCTTGCCCACTCTCAGTGGTGTCACTGTAATCATCTCTGTCACGTCCTATCATATGAAAACTGTGGCCTTAAGTATATGCCATTTGTTTGCTGCTGGTTTACTGGCGAGTAGACTTCGATCTTATCGGGAATCTTTTGGCACCGGATAGTTCTGTCTTTCTGGAATTTCTTGTCTTTTTCCCCAGAAGGCTTTGATGCCACGTAATGTTTCTGCTCGCTCCTTTGCGTCATAGAGCTACTAGTTGCAGACTCCGCAGAAGTTAGAAAATAGAGGTGGACTCTAAACCCTAAAGCATCTTCTTGCAGAAGCCTTTTACACAAGTCCTCTTCATCTGTTATTATAATATGAAAACAAGCCTAGATTTTTGAGTATAAGATGAGAGAAGACTAGTCTACTAGGTAGGTCCTGGACCTCTACCAGTGCCCAAGTCGTAAGTAAAGCCAGTCAGCACACTGCACCGGCAATTTCAGGTTCTCGTATGCAGTGTAGTGCGGCAGACGCATTTTGGAGCATGCGCTTGCTGCCCCTGGACTTTGATCGTCTTAGAATAGATGAAAGTACTTCTTATCTAGTACTAGTAGATGAGTAGATGAAATGTACAACCAGTTGATCTTGATGTACTCATACTCTGCGTGGATTACTAAAACCTGTCCTTGAAGTATCATTCCTAGCTGGTCGCCTCCTCCTGCTCTCCTGGAAGTAGACATACTACGCAATAACAGAATAGCTTGTAGTGGATCCGTCTTCGCCGATCAAAAGAAGGAATGAGAATATTTAAGTTGATGATGACAAAATGTTGAAGTTGTTGTTGTTCATCTTGTGGCGGGCTATTCATTCTATGTAGGTTTCGTTCATAAGATGAGGCTAAGACTCCTGCTGTTTTCTTCTTCTTCGATGAGTCTGCGCCAGCAGAACTTACGTCGTCGCTGCAGTCCGTAGGAGGGCAGCGAGTGCTTGCGTCGTCCAGTCGGGGCTTAGAGATTTCCAAGAATCCATAAAGTTTCTATTTATGATTGTCCTAAAAATTCCACAACCACACGCAGCACTGCTCAGGATCCGCCCAGAGACAGATACATTCGCACATGAAATAACAAAGAATGCTGAAGATGATGAAAAGCTGACACTTGTTAGGCCTTAACTGGTGAAAAACTGTTGTCGTTTGCGCGGTCCACAACCACTCCACTTCCACTTCCACCCCCTTTCGTCTTAGACCACAATCAGATGTATGTCTTTGTACCTCTACCCACTTCTCGAGCTCAATCCTAATATGTCCCCGCACTATGCACCGACTCATTTCTGACATTGAGCATCTCTGCTGCAACACGTGAGGTTGAGGTAGTACAACTAGTAGTTATTAGATTTAGAACTTTGTAACTACAAGAACTACTACTAGCAACTTCGAGCTTTTAACCTTCCATAATTTTCTTTCCGCTCTTTTTCTTCCCTGATTTGGCGTTTTTCCGATTTCCGTTGGAATTGCTCGCACCCATAAATGCACCGCCTTCTCCCGGACTCGGTGGCTTCTCATTCTTAGTGGGTAACGACGGACATATTATTGCTACAGCATGATAGGCTCCTTAAAGGCTGCTCTGACTAGGGTCGGCTTCAGCTTCAGTCAGAGTTGATATGTTTCACAAAGGATAGGATAGGATAGAATAGGGTGCCTTACCATCAGACTCATCGGGATGCTGACAGAAGCGCAGGCGAAGCGCCCCAAGAATCACGATGTATTACATATAATCATAGACGATTTTCTTCATCATGCTCTTAACTTTTTTGTCCTCTAAAGGTGAAGTGCTTATTTTTCTGTCCTTTTCGCCGTCGTTCATCCCAGAAGGTCTTTGCTTCATTTCTACTTCTTCCTCATCCTTACTGGTGCCACCTAGAGGTATCTCCTCGTCCGCTTGGTACACCGACTGCAGGAGCACAGTGCCCTCATCAAAGCCGTCGTCCGTCACCACCCAATGACCCCGCGAGCTCATAAACAGACACTGGCTGGTCACCTGGAAGGAGAGCAGGAAGCAACAGATGAAGCAAGAATACTTACCCGCGTTCAAGAAGGACCCAAAAGGCACAACTAGCATTGTGCTAGTTGTGCATTGTTGCCTTTCTTTCATCCGTTTTTAGTCCTCACCATGATCCCAGGTCTAGCAAAATCTAAGGAATTTAGGACTAGGAGTAGAGCAGTCAGTTGTACGACAACTCGCGTCGCGGTATTCTCGTCTTTCTTTTTTTGTCGGACTCGCTTCCACACAGGCAGGCCTCGATTCGAGCACACTGCCATGTCTTGTAATTCATAAACCCCAGTGACATGTGAGTAGTGATTTGGTGACTCGACGTAGATTCGCATCGGCATTCCAGCACGCAGAGTTCTGGATCATGAGGTAAGATGCGCATAAGAGTTAGTCTATCAAAGTTGCAATCATGATGCTAATCATGTTCAAGAACGTCAATTCTTTGATTGACTCAAACCTGTTCGACTGTGCTTCTATTGAATGATCATCGGCGGCGCGCGCGAAAGTTCCACCAAATGTAGTATTATACCTAGACTTGTCCACCTAAGAGCAGTACCTCATGTTGACATCGAGAGCAACCTCTTTGCGAAAAAAAAGCAGTACCTCATGACATCGAGAGCAACCTCTTTGCGAAAACGGTCGTAGTCCAGTTCTAGGACCTCCTCTATCGCGTGCACTACGTTTACGCTAGTTGTGCTCTCCTTCTCGCACGGTCCACCGGTGTAGAATTTGCTGTTGATGTTGTGGATGCAGTGGAGGTGCAAGACTTCTTATGTAGAATTTGCTGATGATGTAGATGTATGATGTAGATGTTGTGGATGTTGCGGATGCAGGACTTGCTATTTGAGTAGGATGTCATGTGACTGTTGATTCCCCCTGGGAAGAGTAGACTCGTAGATGCCATGTGATGTTCGCTTCGTGTTGTGCGTTGTTCTAGCTTATGCTTAGTGAGGTGGGAGAAGGACAACTAAATCTCAACTACTGATGTTTACCCGTTTCATTGCTGAAGTAGATGTAGATGCTGATGAAGCACGGTGTGGAAAATTTTCAGGTTGTGGTGAAGATCTTCTCGATCGGGGGGTTGTCCGTGGTAGAAGTAGTTCATGCTGGAGAAGTGGATGTGTTCTTGAAATCGACGTTGTGCTGAAGAAGTTCCTTATGCTGGTTTCTATGTAAATGTAGTTCAAGTTTTTGTTCCATAGATATGTGTCAAGAGTGGAGGTCGTACTACTAGCGAAAGCGATGTCATCTATGCGCATGCAATGCAAAAATTCCAGTGCTTTATGGGTGGAAACTCATTTGTTTCGGACTGCCGCAAAATGCGATATCTATCCATCTTCTCCGTTGATTTTCTGCAGTTGTACGTCTCGGATCTGATTCATGTCGTGATGGATAATTATGTTATCGTAGATCCGCCGGGGTCTTCACCAGTGTTTCTCCATGACCTGGTGGTGGTCCTACTTCTTGTTTGTGTGCTTCTCTCTTCATCTTCTATGTAATATACGATTTATTTTGTACAACTAGTCGTGTTGTGCTAGTCGTGTTGAACTGTTCGTGTTGTACTGGTCGTGTTGTACTATTGGGTAGTACTTTTATTTTATGTTTCTTTCTCCACGTGTTGTTTTTCTTCCCAAAATGCGTCATCCGGCTCATGTGGCGTCGATTCCTTTGCGATAGCCTCAGCATAGGTACCAGGACCATCTATGAAGGAAAGGACGAGTACAACCCCAACAAGGAACAAGACTGATGCCAGGCGAAGAAATGCAGAAGGTTGTCCGCGAGAAATCTAGCGAAAGTTTATGTAGAAGTAAGAAAGTAGTTCAGTGGTCGCGCGTGAAGATCTTGTTGGGTGTTGAGAAGTTCTCGTCCGATGAAATAGATGTGTCTGGTACTGATTGCTTCACCAGTCGTGTAGTACCGAGATTCGTTTCATCTGCTGTACACCTCCTTCAGCATGTTAATGTTTTAAGTCCTCTCTTAAAAATTCCTGCCTCACGGTCACGACGTCACGACCACAACCGGTGTTGAAGGACCACTAGGCGAAGGAACTGGAATCGTTCATGACGTTGACGACCAGCAGTGGAGAAAAAAAAACAACCCTTGAAGATAGACGACTTTTTAGCTCTGCTCTCCTCGCGCCTTTTCGTATCTGGTCAGGTGTTGTTCAGCGTGGTCGTTCTTGTCCTCCTTGCTTCTTCTAGAAGTTCTAGTAGTGTAGGTGTACCCACTCTAAGTGAAGCCCTTCCTCCTTGCTGATCATGATTCTTCTTGTCCTCTTCATCCTCTTCATCTTCTCATCAGGATGAGTGAAGATCTTGTTCAATCAAAAATTTATTCATGACCGTTCAATCAAAAATTTATTCATGACCATTGCTTTCTGTTTTGTCTCAAGGAGTAATCGCAATGCAGCTCAGTACCAAATCAAGAACACGTCTTCAACTTCATCAAGATCTATAATCAAAAGCAAAAATAGAGAAGTACCTGCGAAACTCGAATTCATCCTTGCAGTCGTCCAGAAAGCAGACCAACGCGCGATCAATGTCCAGCTTAGCGGCTCCAATCTGCTGAAGAACTACAAAAAAATTCAAAAAATTTGTATGCCATTTGAATTGGAAGACTAATTTCTCTTCAAATTGAAAAATAAGATGAAGTAGATCTTCTACGTACTTAGCTAATTACTATTAGGGGGCAGGGAAGAAATTATTGCTAACTTCAACTACATCTTGTTCCCTCCAATAAATTCGGATTCAAGTATCGGCATCCAATCAATGCTGGTTACCAGATGACGACGATGATGATGATATTTATACCCAGAAATTACGGGCGTAAGCACTACTTGTTATAAGTATAAGTTAGTTTTAGTTAGTTAGTTAGTTAGTTAGTTAGCCGTAACAAGTGCCTGCTCAGGTTGACGCGCATCTTGTAACCGAAAATCCTGTGCGGATCCGCCAGAAAAGTTAGAGGCACATCCTAGCGAAAAGTAAAAACACGACCACAGAATGCAATGAACAATAGTTGTAGTAGTACTGCCATGACTTCCTGTTCTTCACCTACGCAGTTGCTCTTTATCTATGTAAGTAAGTAGCCATAAAAATCAGAAGATGGGAACGCAGCATCATTTGGTAGTTCCGTACGTACATATCGCGCATTCTGCGGGCGAGAAAGACAAAGGCTTCCTTGTGCGCTCGCACGTTAAGCAGGTCTTTGTTTTAGAGCTTGTCCATCTTCATTCGCTTGATCTACCCTGCCCCAGCCATGATTCCTGAGATGAGGCTCCTTTTTCGAAAGAAAAAGGTGCCAAAGAAAGGCAAGGGTGGGTTGGAGCACGTGGAGCCATCAGGATACGCGTGCATCTACTTCTGCTGGGGTCTAGCGCCTACTCGAAAAGCTGAAATGTTGACCGAGTATGCTAGGGAATACTTAATCTTCTCAGACACTCGTTTATTGTTTCTTTTTGTTTCTTGCTTAGTTATTCTGAGTATTCGAGTAGCCTTAATTGTTGTGCTTTTGGGCAACTAATTCTGACTTTCGCTCGTGCTCTGCAACGACGTCCCGGTGAAGGTCGCGGACACGCATTATTTCTGCCTCCTTCTCGTTCAATTTGCGATGTAAATTTTCGACATCCTTCTCCCGTTTTTTCACTGCTTTAGCCTCGTCACTTTTTTGCTGCTTCGCATCTGCAGTCGCACGACGAAGTTTCGCTGTGTTGAAGTTGCAAGTACCAGAAGATGAACAATCAACAATTACTAAAAATTTATAGGAAAAAGTGTTAGCATCCCCTATCCCACGGTTGTTAGTCCAGTAAACGGTTTTCTGGGGTCAATTCAAAGAACCACGACTGAATCTGAAGTACTCTATCAAAATTGATCATCGAGGACGCTTGCTCTTGCACCCAATTGCTCAACAAACAAACAGAAAAAAGCAAGAACAAGGTCAAGAAGCAAGTATCCATTACACAACTACAGTTCTTGTAGTAGTATCTAGTATAGTACTAGTAGTTGATTGTAGGAGTACAATTCTCTTCCGCTAGATCTGTGGCTTCTTGAGCCTTCTCCTTGAGGGCTTTCTCCGTTGTCGCAAGTGTTTTTTCGAGTTTATGGCGGCTTTTTTCTGCTTCCTCAACTTCTTAGAGCCAGCACTCTTAACGATGATGTCCCTCAAAGCAGGTGAGCGATGAATTCTTCCGAAAGAACGTAAATGCATGCTGCTACCAAATAAGCGGGGCCCTGTTCTGAGGACACGTCGACCAAGAAAACTACGATGATCGACAAGGAAAATGAACTTCTTGAATGAATGATCTACAAAAAAAGTAAAAAACTTTCACTTTCCTATTCCTTTGCAGCTTGATGTGATTCTTTTAGATGAAGTTCGCCGTAAACTTCCTTTTGCTGCGCTTGCTTCTGTTGCATTTCTCTTTCGAGGCGTTCGCAGTGTTCGCGCAGGCTCTGCAGTTCCATCTCTGTGCTCTTTTGCCGCGTCAATGCAGCCGTGTAATCCTTCTTCAAAACCTCATGCGATGCCTCCAGTTCCTTTTTTGCAGCCTGGACCTTGAGCGCAGCGCTTCTTAGACCAGCCATAATTTATATGCAGTTAAGACGAGAACTACTTAATTATCCTCTACTTGGAACAAAGAAGTAAGGAAGTGGAACTTCCTTGTGTTTTCACTTTTCAAATTCAAAAGTCGCCTACTTATGACTGAGAACATCACTTACTTTACAAAGAAGCCTCGTCCACCTCAAGAATGAGGCCCAGAAGTCTTAACTCTTGCTTTGCACGTTGACTTCGTTCGTCTTCCGAGTTGTCGTCTGGCGATTGCCGCATACTAGAGCTGGCATTTATGCTCTTGGAAACATGATTAGATGACGAGTTTGCACGAGGACCATTCGCGCCATGACCACTAAGACTATTAGCTCCTGTACTACTATTCGCTGACGAATGCAAAAAATCGCTCGCACTCGTCCCTGTCGTCGTGCTTGTTGACGAAACTGCTGTACTTTTGGAACCTCCATTAGTCGGGGCAGGAGCATTCGAAGAAGCTGCTGTAGTTGTATTAGAGGTAGGTTTTCGGTGTTCGACGTTTCTCCCACTTGTTATGGCTGTCCCCCTTAGGAGAGCCATAACAAACGGTAACAAAAGCACCTTTAACGTACCCTGCATTGTGCCAGTAGTTGCACTGGACGTCGATCCTCCAGTTGTTCCAGAAGACCCTCCGCCAGATCCGTTCTGCTTGTTTTTCTTTTTTTTCTTGCTTTTTCTTGACATTGTGGAGCTGCTCGAAGATATTAAAAATGTCGCACGCTGGTCGTGGTCCTCTACAACTCTACTTGCTGATGGAGCCGATACACTCTGATTGGCAATGGGGTGATTACCCTGATTCTTGCCAATATTAGCAGGATGTGGCGCAGATGATGATGTAGAAGTCGGATTGTTGTTCATCATACTATTAGAGCTGCTACCACCGCCACCTCCTGAAGAGGTTGCGCCACCTGTCTTTTCGAATTTCGATGTCATTTCCGAGGAACTGGGCCGTTTTTAGAGGTAGAAGAAGCAGAAAGTAGACTCTCCTCATATGACATATGATAGCTGATTTCGCTAACAAATAACAGCTCGCGTAAACTTTTCTTTGATGAAAAACAAAAACCAAAATGTACTAGGTAACAAGTATGAAGATTATATAGCCAGCTTAACCTTCATCTTCTGGTCGAAAAGGTGGCGAGGCAGTCGTTTCCGGTGATTGCAAAGCTGGGGTCGTGGTTCCACAAGGCTGACCACAAGAACTACCTCCACCTCCATGCGACGCAGTAGATACTATCCCACGAGAGGGCGGGTAATTCGAAAGTGGGGACGAAGCAGCACGCGCCCCTCGGCCTGCCGGCGCTGCAGACGCAGGCGCTCCGAAAATTGGAGGCGCTCCTACGGATTGGAGGCGCCCAGAAGCTGCGTGGAGATACTCCTGAGCAGGCCCAGAAGCGTGTTGCTGCCCACCAAGAGGAACACGGCCTGGATTTTCCCTTTGTGACGAATGTGGTCCTCGCCCAGACATGTTTTCTCCATATTATGACTGTGAAATTTGGTTCAGGACACGCAAGCTGTCAGAGACGCAGGAAGCACAAGCAGAAGGGCCGGGCCAGGAATTGGCGCCGCGCGTGTGGAGATGCACGCCGGTCATGCCCTCCGTGAACGACCATCAAGGTTGTCGACTCCTGACTTATTCATGCCCATTTTGGGCTTGGAACCAAATTTCACAGTCATACATATCTGCCGATTGTTATCTCTGACGAATGTGGTCCTCGCCCAGATGCTGTACCTGCCGACCGTGTTCCTGTTGCACTCTGCAAAGGTTCCTGCAGCAGGATGGCGGTCGTGCCTCCTTCAACACGATTGATTAGAGCTTAGGCCGCTTGCAACATCTTAGCTTGTTTTTCGCATTACTCTTAATCTTCACGACGAGGATCATCCACTTCTACTGCATCTAGATCTACTCCATTATATTTTTTCTATTAATCATAGACTGAAGGGCTCCATCGGTCGATAGCATCAAGCATGTGTCATCAGCATCACGGACAACGACAAAGACGATCTCCGAATAAAAAGCCAATCCTAGTCCTAATTCCAAAATTCCGTCAAATGAAAGAACAGCTGCTAATGTCTGATCCAACTCTGTTAGGCCTACGTCTTATTCTTCTACCTCTCTCTACAACGCCCCAAGTTCATCCACATACAAACATATGCTAGTACTTCTGCTCTAGCAGTAGAGGTGCTTCTAACTGTAGACTGCGGGCCTTAAGTTGAAGTTGGCAACATCGTCTACTAACTCTGCTCGCGATCCGTCGGCCATTCCCGGTGGCGGTCGCGAAGGAGGCAGGAAACCGCTAGACCCTCTACATGAACGAGGCCACTGAAGATTGAGAACGTCGATAGGAGAATGGCGTTCCCACCTCGTCGCTCTCTTGCAAATACAACTTACAGGGTGTCTCGTCTTACTAATACCGGGCGTCTCTTATAATATATCAGTTATAAAACGACACATTTCCCTTTACTTCGTTCTCAATTATCAATGGCATCATAGAGTGGAGTGCCGCTGCGTGGTAACACAAGACGAATTGGTAGAATGAAGCTCTGTTGTACCGCCTGCGGTCGTTGCTAGCTGTGACACCTGCGAACTCAGTTCCTGCAACAATTGCGTGCTTGTCTTAGAGCTAGAAGAGGTAAAAAAAGATACAAATTCATTATCATTGTGCTATCTTGTGAGACGAGGATTCAGTTTCGGAGTTGTCAGAGTCAGTGTCAGTTGTCACTACAATCACCTGAAGACATCGAAGATATTCGAACTTGTTGAGTGACTCACACAGCTTCGTGTTGATTTCTCGTTCTTTTTGAAGTTGAACTCAAACGCAGGAGGTTTCTTAATGATGCACGACTGAGGAGAGGGCTCCGGGTTTGTCTCTGAGGGAGCCACCATAGAGGTAGTCCTCGTCGTCGGTCCGCGACTCCCCTCTCCGGGACCACCACGTTGCCCCCCAAACAACGCACTTCTAGGGCCTCCAGAACTGGGCACAAGAACATGACTGTCCTTATTAGTGCTACAAGACTACAATAGATATAGATAATCATGATGTCGATAAGTAGAAGACGACCATATAATCAAGTGCATCAGGATAGTTCATGATGTCGATAAGTAGAAGACGACCATATAATCAAGCCATATTAGTATGTTGGTGGTCGTTGTAATCAGGGTGCAATCCCATGGCGGACGAGAGGGAGGAAGTTCGCGTGTGCATCATCGTCGGAGCAGCAGAGTTGTGGAAGCCACTTCCACCAACTCTTTTTATCTCCATACCGCTGTTGCCAGAAGTAGACGAACTCACAAAACAAGAATTAGTAGGGCAAACAAGCAACATGGCTACGGTACTAACAGGTAGTCGAATCTCGGACTCGGCTTTGAACAAACGAGAAGAGAAATAACGATATAGAAAAATATGCAGTAGTCTAAGACATAGACATAAGTTCTTGGCATGATCCGCCTCATTGTCATTGTCACAATCTCTTTCTCTTTGCTCTAAAAAATCAAATCATACGTACTCATGATGTTATTCGGAATAGGGAAGTCTTCAATTTGAGAGAGTTAGTAAATACGAATACTAAGCCCTAATTGGATGTCTGGTTTGCTCCATGTTGATCTCACCCGAGGGCGAGCTCGCAAAGGCACCGCCGCCACCCATTTTAGAAGAGCTCACTATCAGCATTAATACAATCTTTATGATCTACTTTAAAAAATAGGAAAAATTTTCCTACTAGTTCATCTCCGTGGTACTTGTATTACTGCAACCTCATCAATAAGCACACCTGTTGATACCGTTAGGAGCTAGTTCAAACAGGGAGCCAGGAGATCTTGAGGAGCTAGGTTAAAGGTAGAGATTATCTTATCTGATGTACTAGCTCAACAAGTACTAGTAAGTTCTACTTCTAGTTATCTTATGATCTGATGTACTACTAGCTCAAGTACCATTTCTGCTAGTTGTAGTACCAGTGTGGTCGCGTAGATCAAGTCATAACTTTCTGTGCCAGAGACAAAAGCATGTCCATTTTTTGCTGCAGTTCTCGGATAGCCCGTTCGTGCTGTCCCTCAGACCCGAAAGCCCGCTCCCCGATGAGTTAGAAGGTACGAACGACTACAAAAAATATCTATGTCTATGTCTATCTTCCTGCAGGACTAACTTTTGGTCTCCCTATGATCCGTGTAAGCAGCAGGAGCAGAAAAAGGAAACGAAGTAGAGGAACTAATTCAATTTACTGAAGTAGAGGAACTACTGATCTCCGTCCGCGTCCCCGCCTCCCCTGCTAGTACTAGTAAGTTGTACGCGCTAGCTACTTCTACTTCTAAGTACTACTTGCACTTCATTTATGGAGCCTGCTAAATCTTGTTCTTCCAGTAACTAGATGGTTCTTTCTTGTAGCCTTAAAGCATATGGTCGCTACGATTGTCCGCATCAACATGCGACGCACTTTTCTTAGCAAAGAACTACATAGCCTTTCCATGTCCACAATTGATTGATTTCCTGTGCGTTGTTCCTCGCCTTCGGTCATCACCTCGACTTCCGATCAGCTTCAGACCAATGGGAAAGTAAATGCATTCAGTGCGTAGAGCATGACACCAGCCGATTTTTTCTAGTACTCCTATTCATAGACTTCAAATAAAGTGTTGAGCCACTTCATCTGGTGCGTACATCTTCAACTACAGGTCATCATCAGAATCAGTCACACTGGTGAATGTTGACTAAAAAGAAGTACGCGAGGACCACATGTCTTTATCAGTCACACGATCGGATGATTAAAAAGTACAAGTACACCATGCCTTAATGTTATTCGTCGTGTCTCCGCTACGTCGTCGCAGCCCGGCGGCTAGTATCTGTTGAAGAGGATCTGGCGCACCTTCCGCGGGGTCGCTGTGGGTAGACGAAGTGCTGTCTACTACTTCTACTTGTTCAGATGACGTAGCAGGAGGAATCATAACGGAGGAACCTCCACTACACGAAGGACCATGGAGGCTGCCCTTGGCTCCACCTGCCCTACTTCTCGCATTATGCGGTTGGCCCCACGAAGATAGAGAGGCACGAGCGCCCTCCTGGTGCGCGGCTCCTGCTGGATGATTTTGAATATGCCGTTCGGTGCATGGCTCATGGTAAGACGACCCCGCACGGCTAGCTGTTGATGTAGGCGCTACCGCTGCAAAGTGTAAGTGCGGCATGCCGGCTCGACTCGACGACGTTGAGTGATTCAAGACGGCCGCGGGCGCGTAGCACGGCGCGTTGTACGACGACGTCAAGTTCTGTACTTGTGGATCCGCTAAGGAGCTCGTCAAGTTCTGCACATGGCGATCTCCAGCAGTATGGAGCAGCTGCAACCCATCTGCCGGAGCTGTAGGATAGAAATCCTCGAATGCAACTTAGAGTGGCTCCTAGGTAGTCTCTAATTAACATCCCTCCTCCTTCAGCGGCTTCGGGTTAAGCTTATATATAATATTCATTGACTTTTTATGTCTTAGTCTTTTCAATTAGTGGTATTGCATTCCTGAGTAAAAAAACCTGGTAAACGTAAAGACCGTAGACAAAAAGAAAGATGTTGAAGTCCAAGTCTCTCGCCCTCCTAGTCCGTAGCAAAAAATAGAACAATAGGAACAATAGCAATACCTAGGGTCTACAACCTCTACGAGTAAGTAGTATAACTACGAAGAAATCATGACAACTATCCTTAATCAAGACCTGGTGGTGGCGAAGAAACGACCGAAGGATTGGTCGAGCCTGCTCCGGACGAAGAGGCACTTGATGAGTGAGTCAACGCAGATCCTTGCCTCTGGTTTCTGCTGCTCTTGCGCCGCGATCCCTCGGACGCTGCTGTCGTCCTTCCTCCCCCACCTGCACCTGGACCTGCTCCACTAGTATTTCCGCTACGATCGTTAGAGCAGGTGGGGAAACAATACAAATGCAACATGGTGGTCTCAGAATTTCTCGAGAATGTGCATACAAAGATGAAGAATCATGCTAGGAGATCATCTTCACATTATTACTAAAGTATCAGTACATCTACCACTTTTTCTTTCTTCTCGTTCTGGACTTCGCCTTGGATCATGTGGAGGCACACGCACATGGATTACCGAAAGAAGAACCATAACACTAGTAGTTTTGATCTTTGCTGCGGAGTTTCTACTTGTGCCACCTCCAGGCGCTGCTCCAGAAGCAACAACAGGGCCAGGAGCTCTACTCCTCGTCTGGTCATTCTTAGAGGCACCGCGTTGGCATCCCTGGGCGCATCTTCCTTGGATTCTAAATCTCAAGTAGAAAAAGGGCCAAGGATCATGCTGAGGATGGTCGAGCGGCGCCAGCCTTAACTACATGAGCAGCAGTACTACTATGGGTAATATTTCGATTGGCGATGTCCCCGTAATATGCGGCTAATACGGAACCCGCGTGCTGCGCCTGGAGATGGTGTTGATGGCTATAGTCTCCGTATGCAGTCGTATACATTGTTAGAGGTTACGGAGTTACATTCCTCAGAACATCCTACTTAGCCCCTTTTCTATTTGAAAAAAGGCCTATTAGGATAGGATAGGATTTGATTCACCGTCCACAGTTTGACCTGCCTCCTCGGGTGAATATGTGCAGCCACAGAGGGACTACCAGTTTCAGAACATCCTTAGCGCCTTTTCTATTTGAAAAAAGGCCAAGGATGACGGGGCGGAATGTAATTCGGAAACCCTTAACATTGCTGCAGCATCGTCCCCACCGTTACTAACAACTCCTGAAGTACCACTAACGTTAGAAGACGGAGAGTTTGTCTGAGTACTGCTGGAGCTATAGACGACGTAGAATACTATTCGTCTTTTTAGTACTAGACGAGCTATGGCTCCAGATGGAGACGGAGCAGGAACAAAACAAGTACTTAGGTAGTATTAACAACTTGAACTTGTAACCTCCTCATAATCAGATACGCAGCGTAAGCACTTGTTGAGGGATCATGGTCTTCATTCGGCGACGTTGAGGTCGTGCCACCAGTCGGACTTGCTGCAGTGTCTTAGCGGTTGTAGAAGTGGATGATGAAATACAACTGAGTCCAGGAACCGTCCTATTCTACTTACTAAGTTGGGTACTCTTTCCTAAAATCTCCAGCCTTCAGTAGAGTTTTCGACTGACCACGAGGACACGACCCTCTTCCGACCCCCCGTGAGAGTTTCATTCTATACTGGCGAGGATTATATGGATAGCTCTTCATTTTCATATCATGAGATGAATAAGTAGTATGTGACTTTGTTCTGGATTGCTGTAAGTACTCATCTGTCATCCTTTAGTGGACCACTACCCTTAAGTCTCATTTCCCGTCCAGTGGTGCTCTTTGGGACAATGGTGATTGATCCGATCATGATGAGCCGGGAAGTAATATTGCTCTGCGCCTGCTGTTCCAGTAAGCATTAGAAGATTTGCATGTAGAAGAAATTATCTGTCGTGTTTATTCTTAGTAGCAACATGCCAACATGTAGATCAACAAACACTAGTCTCGCTACTGAAGGTCTTTCAATATTCATTTTTATACCTCCCCTACGCCTACCACCCAAACTGTACTTGGTATTTTTCTACAGGTTCAAAAACGCCATGGGTGCATGATGAACGAGTAATGTCGTCTTTCTCTTAAGGAGTGCATCAGTTATTATATTTTATGACATGGTACACCTATATGCCTAGTATCTACTAGATAGTCTTCTCTCTCATCTCGGATTGAAGAATTAGACCTCAATCCTTCATCGTCAAAGTCCATCAAGTTGAGACAGAAACGTGATGCAGTACTGACTACTCTGCCGCTTACACCCAAAGTCCGTGTTACAAAATCTGGAATTAAGATTTACAGTTCATAATTGATGAAGCAGTCCCCCCGTTTGCAGATGATAGTATTGGTTTTGGTCCCAGTCTATCCTAGAACCCGAGCTGCTGTAGTGTAATTCGACACGACATCCACCCCCAAGGACATCGACGCAAGAGGCTGTAGAAGTGGAGGTCATGTCATGTCATGTGCCCTCTTAAGCCACGTGGTCAAGTAGCCTTGAGGTAGTTCAGCCTAATTGTACCTTCTAAAAAGAAGAGCAATTGGACCGACGTACTAATTAAATTTCTACAATAAAAAAGTAGATGAATAAGTAGAGTGGAGGTGTCATGATCCTCAGTACTACAACATCGCAACAATCTCACTTCTCACGATCATCTATAATGATGAATGGAATAGACGGTGTTTAACAATGATTATCTATGTATAATCTACTCCTTTCTCAGTAGTGCAAACGTCTTTACCATCATGGACTCCGTGTTGCTGGACGTTCGACCAAAGATCAGGGCGATTCCGCAGTTTGTCGATTACGTTGGTTAGATGAGCCAAAGAGCCACCACCAACTAAGTAGAACTAGAGGCCGCCCCTAATGATTCATCTTCATGGATGAAAGACTCAGGAGATGTAAATATTGTTCACCCAGAACGATGCTTGCCTGCTGTACCTAGCTTTGGTACTTGAGTAAACCACCTTGATGGATATAATTGGATACCCATGTCCTTAAGTCTGATATGGACGGACGCCAGTAAGGTGGTCGCGGCGGGCTACGAAATGTTAGAACCATAAGAATTATGACAAGAAGAATTCGCTCCCAGTTGTAGAATTTGATTTTTGAACTTGCTACAGCTGCACACCCCGACATCTTTCTTCATAGATTATATCAAAGTGAAAAATGATAGGTCCGTGAAGGTAGAAGTTTGGAATGGATCGTTAGCCTTAAACTGGGTAGGCGTGGGCGTGGGTTTTTCCCGCTTCCTCCCTTCAAAGCGCCACCAGCACCTTCATCGAGCGAATCCTTTATAAAAGATTAGAGCTGCTCGTCGTGAAAACAAAGAAAATGAAGAAGATGTCTAGATTGTACATATTTATAGGAATACATACTAGGTCGTGCATAAGTCAAGAAAATATATGACTCTTGTTTTCGACGTCGAAATCGAATGGGAATATGACCTTCCTAAGAACATGTATCTTCGTCCAACTCAAAATGGTCCAGATCTTCTCACAAACTGAATACTGAGAAACAAAAATGAAGACATGAACTTCATGTCATGAAGAAGTAATTCCTATCAGAAGCCTTAAGAGGACGACTTGAGATTGCTACTTTCCTCTCCATCACGCTCGCATAGAACATCCGCAACATAGTAAACCTTTTTGGATAAATGGAATGGAGTTTCGCCCTGATCAGTGTTCCGAAACTGTCGATGGGACTCATTTTTCATTGTTGAGAAACAAATGATAAGGCTATATTGTTGTACCAGAAGTTCGTTAGTCGTGCACGTGTTCCTTGAAGTTGAAGACAAATATAAATCAACACTCAATCACGTGGTCTTGTTCAAAACTACAAGGACACGTACATACGAGATGATGTGGTAGAGCCAAATATGTAGACGGTGACCCAGACACGACTGCAGTCTTCAAAACAAAAGAGGACGCTGCAACTATGACTGCTACTAACTACTACATACTTAGGAGTCTGAAAGACAAGAAGAAAAAAAATCTTGTAATAGACTATTTCCAATATTTTCACGCTTAATAGTAAAAACGCGAAGAACAACATTTTCTCGTACTTTCGCGATATGAAGAATCACATTCAATAAATCAAATACCGTCCCCCTGAAGCAGTCGCTGAACTGTAGCTGGTTGGCGGCAGCAGGCCACACATCTGTTCCAAGTGTTTCCTTTAGGCGGGCTTTGACTCCCGCATCGCTATCGGAAGAAGAATCTAGCAGCGCACTAACTCGTGTGCTAGCTGCAATGTGCACAACCCCCAACGCGCTAACTCGTGTGCTAGCTGCGGTGTGCAGCGGCGTAGGTGTAGGCATTTTTCTTGGTCGCTCTTCCTCGTCTCTCTGCCGCGAGAGTTACCACACAAGCACAAGAAGAGACTTACAAAACTGACCGAAATGATCCAGATGAACAAGCACCTCCTGACAAATAAAAATAACCACTAATTCTGTGGGAGATGAGACGAGTGATGTCTAGTACCTCCATCTCCAGACTGAATGAGACGAGGAAATGCTAAATTCCCTGATTCATTCCACCGCAGCTGATCATGTTACAATACGTGCTAATATTAAGCTGCGATACGTTTCACATTATATGCGTAAAGGCAAACTACTTTCAGACAGGACGAGCAAGAGGACTAATATGCCTATTCCCCTGAAGATGATGGCGCGACCCTCTCCCTCCAAATGAATCCTCATCTTCGTTCTAAGTAAAGGCAAAGCTATGAGTATAAACATCAAGTAAGACGAGGTTAACCTCATACATAAAATAATGTCACAGTGAGTGGTCTCAAATTGTGTTGTAGCTGCTCGTCAATATCCTCATGGATGCCTTACAGCTCTTATGCTCAGCGTTAGTGTACTAGTGATACTGTATTGATATTGCGGCCAGAAACTATTGAAATCTTAGCATATCATTCAAAAGTAAAGAAATAAAGGAAAAAGATCAGACTCAATGTTAAGCTTTGGAAGATACATGAGAGATGTCTGTGTACATGATCACCACTCGCATTTGAAGGATCATCTGACTCAGTTGCGCTTGCCGTTTATCACGTGTAGATATATGAATGAGTGAATGATTGAGTGAGTGAATGTAGTACCCAGTCGGAAGTACTACTGTTTCTTTTAGTAGAAGAACCTGTCTCATCATCTCTTCTCTCTATCACATTCCTTCTTGGTGCTGGCGAAAACGTGGAAACACATTATCATGGCACTCTCGACGCGCTCATCCTCCAGTTACGTCACGGATTATTGTCCTCATGCTTCGTGTTCAGGTGAAGATCTTCTTCGTCCAAGGTCAGTAAGTAGAAGAGTTGACTAACCTACTTATAGCACTAGCAAACTATCGCATTTGTTGCGACGATTACCGAATGACGCGGCGCACCCACTTCCGGGAGAAGAGTTCTGCTGATGTAGTTGAGAGGATGAGCCAAAACCCAGCTTTTTCTTGTGTAAAAAATAAATGTGCATTTGTTCCAGCTCATAAATAATCAAGTATCTCATGTGCCAAACAAAGGAGAGGGGACGGGGAGAATGCATGGAGGTCAAGATCAGGGGGAAATTGCATTAAATACTTGCCTTTGGCAGCAATAGTCATTTTCATTCCCTTCTATTTTCTTGTTGCTACACCGGCTCTTCCTTGATGACGCGCTATGTCGCGTCAACATCTATCAACATGTTATTTTATCACGGCAGCCCCGATTGACAATCCGTATCCGACATTCGTCACGTGGCGCTCTCGTCCTTTTTTCCTGGAAACAAACAACTGGCACTCCTCTCGGCGTACGAGGTAGGCCTTGTTTCTACTCTCACTCTTCCAGGTGGAACGCCACGAAATACAAATTAATACACTTTAGCTTCAGAGCACCTCATACAACTAAATATGCTGACTATAACAGTTACTCACTTCATGATATCTTGCGCTGGATCTGCTTATGCTTACTTCGTGTGGTTCTGTAATTTCATGGCTGTGCTTCCACTGCTGGTAGCTGAATGTTGTTGCCTGTGAAAAAATACTGAGCAGCCAAGTAATTTGTTCCATTAATATGACGATGAGGAATGAGCGAAAGGTGTCCCACAACCACAAGATTATCACTATCCCACGCTTTGGAGTAAGTAGTTCAAAAGTGTCCACGTCTTGATCTCCGTAGTACTGCAGTGTCCTTGCGCTAGTTAGTGGAAGTTGTTCTGCCCACCTGCTGGTGTGTTAGTTGATCAAAACCCTTAGCTCACCGTTGGTTCGGATTATCCAACGTGCCCGGATCTTCAGGTCCCTGTGGTCGCGTCCACGTCGACTCAGCATCGCTCGAAGTATCCTTGTCCTTGACATTCATGCCTAGTGTGTTCCTAGCCGCTATGACGAGCTTGGCCATGCGACCATACGCTCGCGCATTCTCTCGACGGGATATAAAATCTAAGAGAGCTTTATTCTTGTCTCTGAGAGTTCTTGCAGCCACAGCATTTACAGCTTTTAGACAAGGAGGCAGGCCGATTTTGATGTGCGTGATGTCAGTAATGCCAGGACAGAACAATACCTGCTTGGACATCGTCGGTGTGCGTGCTGTGCAGCTGATCATCATCATGTCGTTCTGGTTGCTGCCAAGCACGGACTCGCTGTCACCTATCTGCTCGCGCTTTCCAGCCAAAAGCGGCGTCATTCCATATGTACTACTACTTCTAGTTTCTTCTTCTGCACATCCGAAAGTATCCACTACTGCCGGCGTGTTTTCACCGGCGGGGCCAGGAGCTGCCGCGAAAAAATAGTCTCCGCCGAAATTGCCCTGGCCCGCTAGTAATTCCCGAATGTTGCTGAAGAACGGCCGACCGATTGTTAGAAGAAAGGAAACATCATGACCAGAAAAGTTCAACCAACTACAACTATATTCGGCTCCGAAATATTAAGGAGGACAGTTTATTGTATTCACAAACACAAAAGTACTTATATATATAAATAAATAGAATATAGAGACCCTCCCGGTCCGAAACACGATCCACGAGCACGCGAGATCTGCCGCCGTAGAACAGCAAAGAACGCATGTACTTGTACTATGCCAAACAGAACCACAAAAAAAGCAGATCGCCCCAGCGGCGGCCTGAGGCGTTTTTCCCGTCCATCCTCATAGATACATCTAGCGGTCCGAATTTTGCCCAAACATTAGCATACCAACGTCAAGACTGGAAGGCAACGCCCTCGGCGAACCAGTAGACTCCCCAACCCCCCATCGAAAAAGCAAATCTACACGCAGCACTTCTTTCCAAGTCTATACCAAATCGCCACCCGCCCCCCAGTCGCCAAGCAACTTCGCTGGCCCCGTGAGAGGGGCGGGAACGCGGCTCCGAAGAGGCTCAGGGGTGAAGCAAGTATGGCGTTAGCTTCGCAGCTTTCCTACCACCAATAATTTAAGAGCGAAAACGTGGCGCGCCCACCGTACTAATAAGCTAAAGCCACTGGCTTCAGCTTACCTAGAGGCACCTTAGGGCCTGACCTATATTTATATAATTAACCGAGAAACACCCAAGCAAAGAAAAACCCCAACCCGCCTGGCCGCAACAGTGCTAGCGGTGGGGCCCTTGGTCGAGTTTTGACTGCCCAGAAATCCGACAAGGGGCGGAGTAGCGATACAGCCCAGATAGAAGGGGCAGAGGGGCTGGGAAAGCTCTGGAGCACCCAGGGGGAGGAGGAGGCGCGCGAAGGTGATGAGAGTAGAAACCTGAGAAGGGGCCAGAGCCTGCGATAAGACTGACGTGTTGCCTGAAAAAGCCCACGAAGATGAGTACCAAGGGGGCCCGCAGTGCGCTATCGATACACACACACCAGAAGGGGCACTGGCATGCAGTAGCGAGAGCGCTACAGACATGATACGAGTAGAGGGGAGAAGGGGGCGAAGGGTTGGATGGCGTGCGAGAGTTGTCAGAAGTGACGACAAGCATTTTCAACGGGCCGCGGAGGCCCACCAGGCACTGTGTCAAGATCATAAGAACAAGAAGACCCAGACAGAGCCAGAGAGGCGTCTGGAGGTGGGAAAACGAAAAAGAAGCCACAAAAAGAAGCTAAAAGACCAGAGGGTCGCGGATGAATAAGACAAGCTTAAGATAGACTCAGCGGGGCCGCAGGGGGTCCAACAGCTCCTACATATAAGGACATTAAAGGAGGCGCATTCTAAGCCAGGCAGCGGGAGCCACGGCAGGCAAAGGAGCTCCGGGTGGGTCCGAGTCCTCGACCTCCTGTGGACAATACTGTTGGGGAATCCGTGGCCCAACGGAGGGCAGGGGCGCAGCCGCATGCACTTACACAACCGAGAGGACGCCGCGCAGCCGCGCAGCCCCGCAGGCAAGCTCGCTCAGCTGTGCATAATTTGCGGCGCCTCTCCTGTATCCCCTTCGCGCGACTGTTTCCTTCCGGGAGCTCCTTTTTTCGTTCCCCCTACAAAGCGCGCACTTTCCCAACAAAGTAAGACAACAACAAACGCACGGTCGAAGTTTCCATCCAGTGGCTCTAACGGTCACCGAACCTCCCTGCAAGTGGGTCTCTCACTCTCTAAAGTAAAATAGCGACAGCCGAAAGGAGTAGACGCCGCACCGCAAGGGGGCCCGTCGGCGTCACCAAAACTAATACTCGCTAGAAAGCGTCGTTAGAAAGCCCACAGCCCCTTCCTTGGCTACAATAGGGGCCGAGAACATGGGACAGAACTACCAAAAGCGTGACGCTTTTGGTCGCGAAGTTTGCAGAGAGGCCATCGGGCTAGATCGTCTGTCCAGGCGCGGGGTGGGCGCAGGGTTATTCTTTAAAGCGAAGCCGACCCATTGTTGCTTATCGAATGCTCGTGGTCATGCGCATGATGGCGACTAGAACTAGCCATAAAAAAAAACCTCCACCAACAAGAAACGCGCTTTCGTAGCCGTCAGAAGCGCAGACGCACCAATGCTTAGAAGACCTCAAGACAATTCATTTCTTGATCTTGGCTACATTTCTTTCAATCCTAAGAAAGAAATCGAGACAAGTGAAGATGTGAGACTTTTAGAAGTAAAATATATTGAGCCTTAAATTGCTTCGCTTTCTCCTGCAACATGCGCAAAAAGTCTTCATCTACTTGGTCTTTGCCGCCTTCGTCCAGTTTATGAGAGAGGACAAATAAAAAATCAAAAAGACAAGGCCAAGGCAATAATCGAATCTAAACAAGTAGAAGCGCGCACTACAGCGTACTACTATCATAGGTAGCTTCTCTTCTGTGGTTGCAGTGGCATACGGCAATCTTATTCTTACTGTTCACGCAAAACAAGAATGAGTAGTTGTGATTTGTTCTTGATTTGAGAGACAAACCTAGGATGATCATGAGGGAAAAGCCAACCGGCTACTTTTTCTAAATGCGCTTTACGCGTCGCTGGACCTAAGCCAGTCGATCCCTACATCATCAATGAATGCATAATCATAAAAAGAAGAATGATGAAGGTGCTAGATTGTAAGGGTATTAGTCATCTTAGATAGAATCTTGAGTACTATTATGTCACTCCTTCCAGTTTCTTGTCATCCTATTTCTTTGATTGAAGGAAAGGGCAGAACGACACAGAGGATGAGCTATACTCTACATGGAGAAACAGCCTAGGGATTTCTACGGGTTTATTCCGGAGGTGTTATAGCCCAGGAGGTTGTGTTATAGGCAATTATGAATAATGATAAAAACTAACCGTAGTTCTGAAGATGGTATAAGTAGGTAAACTATTTTTAGCTGTTTTCTGGAAATAGCTCGTCGCTACACCTAGGTAGTGTGCAATTCGTCACAGTGGTCTAGTGCGTGTGCGTTTGGGTCATACGGTTGATCATCGTTCTGGACCGAACCCGACCGTTCTTGCCCATGCTGGTACAGTCGCTCCATCACCTCAAAAGCACTCCGCAGTGCTGGCTCCACTTCCATATTCTTCAATTGAGCAACATCCTCTCCTTCAAATTTCCGCATCCACTTGGCCGCAACAAATCCCTGCATCGCATCAATCACAAACTCGAGATGGTTCCACCGCGATGTTATGTGCTGCGTGTCCGTCCAAAACGGCTTGTATGAAATGGGCGGCAGGATGGGTTCAAAAGTGATAATGAGTATCCATCATGAAGGTGCACAAATTCAAAAAAGCTATCATTTACTATAATCGTTATGGTCCTCGTTGCTAGTGGTACAATGATCTTTCTAGATACGAACAAAATGTTGAGAGTGCTCAACATGGAGCAATTTTGAAATCATTTTAAGCGCTGCCTCCTTCTTTTTTCTTGGCAAAACAATCACGGCCGTCGCAAGATGAGCGAGAAAGTAGTTACACTTTTCGTCTCCCACGGTCTTCAACATTCTGACTCGCCTCACTGTCGCCAAACAGGGGAAAGGGAAACGACGCTTGACGAGCCTATTGCAAAGAGATACACCACGAAAAAAAGTAGTCTTCCTAGAGGACCTCGATCTAGTTTGGTAACCCAGGCGCTTTTGTAATGGAAGGCGATGACTGAAGCATGAAACTCGACTGGCGCGCTTTTTATCGACTTGCGTGAAAAGTCAGCCCCGCACTGTGCGAAAACGGCCAAAGCTGTCTCCATACCGTCACGGGAGTGCTCTGCTTAACGATGCCCCCCCTTCCTTGTCTTCTTTCCGGTTCGTGCGTCTCTTGTCTTTGTTTTCTGTGTCTCTTCGCGCCCCATCAGAACCCACCACATCAGGCAGCAAGCAGATGCCTGGAGATTCTGGAGGGGCGCGGGGCTTCTCATGACGCCCGGAGCGCTTCGCCGAAACCAAGGCGAGGGACGTCGCCGAAGGGCAACAATATGCGGCGACAGTTTTCAGGATTTGGCATTGACTTCCACCCCCCCAGATGAAGTTGAATTTTGTCCGGGCTTTTGCAGTGTTCCGCTGACTTTTTCCCCTAATAATAGAATGGCGCCACAGTATAGCCCAGAACCATAAGAGAGTGTCCTCGGCTCGTGTTCTTGGTACTCGAGAGAGCAGGAATAGTAGGAACTTCGGCAGGGGCTTGTCAATAGTCCAACCGTTCCCCTTCTGATCATCATCTCCTCCGCCCACCAAATTTGTCACTTCCGGCTTCGTGGACGACGCAGTCGCAAAGAGGAGTTTGATCCGCACCTTGATCTGGATGGTTTCTTGGATGTCGTCTGCAGTGTGCAGGTGCACTCCCTTGAGCCATTTTTCCAGCGCCAGTTGCTGCCCCTCAGCAGCCACGTCCAGGTAATCAATCCAAGCTTGTTTCAAGGCGTCATCCACATTTTTCTTCAGGTCCTCAAGGATAACCTGGAGTTTAAAGGAGTATGATCAAGAGAACACAAAGCATGGAAGTAAATGATCCCAAGCGAAATCGTCGAGCAATCAAACTACTAGCATAATTGCTAGTACTAAAATAAACTACACCAAATGATCATAATCATTTCTACTACTTGTATTCTTGAACATAGTCACAAAAAAAAAACAGATCTTCACGAAAGGCTATCACTCAATAGATCATCTTCATCACGTGTGTTCTTCTGATTATTTGCTCCTTTCTTGCCGTTTCCATCTGCCTCTACACAATGTAAGTATAAATGAAGATGTACCTGTTCTGCAGCGCTAACGGTAACGAGCGTAAATTCTTGGAACCGCATGGCGATATCTACCAACTTCGCAACGTTTTCCTCTTTCGTCTCGGTGTTCATCGTCCGCGTTCCATGATCAGCTATCCCCTCAAACTTTCTCTTCGTTACTTCTTTCAGTCTCGCTTTCGCAGCTGCTTTTTCCGGAGTTTCTTCTTTCGGAGCTGCTTTTTCCGGAGTTTCTTCTTTCGGCGCTTCTTCTTTCGGAGCTTCTTCTTTCGGAGCTTCTTCTTTCGGAGCTTCTTCTTTCGGAGCTTCTTCTTTCGGAGCTTCTTCTTTCGGAGCTTCTTCTTTCGGAGCTTCTTCTTTCGGAGCTTCTTCTTTCGGAGCTTCTTCTTTCGGAGCTTCTTCTTTCGGAGCTTCTTCTTTCGGAGCTTCTTCTTTCGGAGCTTCTTCTTTCGGAGCTTCTTCTTTCGGAGCTTCTTCTTTCGGAGCTTCTTCTTTCGGAGCTTCTTCTTTCGGAGCTTCTTCTTTCGGAGCTTCTACTTTCGGAGCTCCTACAACACCAGGCTGAGCTTCACCTACATGCGTCTTGATTAGCGGCGTCACTACGTCTAGATGAGTCCTTCCATTTTACTGTTCCGCGACTGTCATGTCAGAGTCAGGATGCCTCGTATCAATTGGTCTATATCCCAATGATGAGGCTCTATCAGCCTTTTTGTACCTTCACCGAATGAAGCGCAGGAAAGCCAATTGATAAACTATCAAGTTTCGATTTCCTTACTTGACAAAATAACACAAGACGGATAAGAAACCTAATGGAGCTCTAATGGAGAAAAATTGTCAATGGCCTTAATGTTGATTTCTCCAAAGGAGCTGCCGTCGAGGTCGAGCCCGAATTCTGTATCAAAGTACTTTGTAACTTCGCTAACCACCCCGATTCGCCTGTCGTTGGATTGCTCAGCGAGTAAAACATCTTCCAGCAGAGATCCGGAAGCCGTTTATCCGTTATAAATAGCTTGTCCAGATCCTTGCAGGTTGGACGTAGTGTCTTAGTGCAGAATTCCTTACACACAGTCGCGATATTCGCCAGTGGAGTAGAGGTAGACACCTGGTTCGTCCTCTTCGCAGCAAGTGGAGTAAATCGCCTGTCCGCCTCCTCGATGTACAAAGTTTTGTTGTCTGGCTCGTCGCTCCTCTCCCGCACGTCGAAACCTAGGTTTCGCAGCTCCAGTAGAGCCTGTTGATAAGCGTTTTCTTCGTCTCCATTTAATAACATCTTTTTAATTGCGCTCTCGACGCCCTTTAGGTTACTTAGCAGCTACAGTGGTTCATTTCCCGCGTGTTTCCTCTTAGATTCCAAATAAAGAATCTGCTCAGCAACAACCAATGCTGTGGAAATGAATTATCGAAAGACTTAAAAACTTGCCCAGCTGGTCGCCTGACGCATCCCGACGAATTTCTTCTTCTTGGGGAGCTTCTTCTTTCCGAGCTTCTTCTTTCGGAGCTTCTTCTTTCGGAGCTTCTTCTTTCGGAGCTTCTTCTTTCGGAGCTTCTTCTTTCGGAGCTTCTTCTTTCGGAGCTGCTACTAACCCATTATCGACACTGCCTTCTTCTTGTCCTGTCGTGGGCGTCTCCGTTTTTCCGCAAGAACAACACATCGACCGGGCCTAGTATGATTTTTCGGTTCGATATATATATATTGCTGAAGATGGTTTCCTCTTCGTGTAGACAGTTCTTTCAATATGAAACTGAAATCATGGAGGTCCACCGCACAGAAAAGGGAGGCTTTGGTGTATCAATCATGCACTCCTCCGTGTTTTTTTTGATACTGCAGAACATTAACATCATCACCATAAAATATTAAGTACTCTCCGACTTCGCCCATTTGAATCCTCAAGGAAAAAACAATACTGATCCGTGGTGCAACTAGTACTAGCATTTCCATGACCAGCAGAAAACGACTTACCTTGCGACTCGTGACAGCCAATGTGACGTCGAGGAATGCATTCTGCGTGATCCTGGTTTTCGTGTTGCCCTCTTCTGGGTGTGGGTACAAATGTTTCTTGTATCCTAAAAAATCGCTCCCCTCGACATCGACTTGGTACGGTATCGACCCCCTCAGATTAGGTCCACGCTGCACCACGGGCTGAGCCTCCGAGGCCTCCGAGTCCTCACAGTGACAGGAGCTGCACTCTCCCGTAAGCATGAAGTCACGACAAAATAAGTAACTGCGAGCACATAACAGCAACTTGCACAATAAAACTGCCTACGCAAGTAAGTATTTTAGTTGTCTCGTGAACGCGATAGAAGATGAACAACAATTGCCTGCTGATTAGCATTAGAGGATATATCACAGATGAGAATAAGACAGCAAGCTACCTCCAGAAAAGAATATAGGAAAAAATATCACAACTACGAGAGCTCTCCTTTTCTTATTGTAAGAGTAGAAAGATCAAACTCTAAGTACCTAGTTCTAGACTATCGAGTGCTTTTCCCCCAACATAAAAGCGCCAGCATCTGGTTGATCCTCGTCGCCACTTGGACTTGGCGCATTCACCTCCCGGTGCGCTTCGATCCCTCTCGCGCTGCAGCCGTGACAATGGTACCCTATAACTACCAAAATCCAGAACCAGCCCTTTGCTTGCAGCTCCCGAGAACGTGCTCGCTGTAATATGCTTTGCCACGAACTCCAGCCTTGTTCTTTACCTAGGGTTGAAGTAATGAGAGAGAAGCATCGACAATGCTGAGCAGTTGTCGTGGTAGTGGTTGTCAGTGATCCTCTAATATATTTATCATATGTAGTGTTGGTAAACTAGCATCATGCTACAGGATCGAAGGAGCGAGGGAGGTCGTGACACAAGTAGATGAACAAGGGCAATGGACGACGAGGGCGAGGCGGGAGTCTCTTCTAAGAATTAAAAAAAACAAAACCAACCTGATAAATATGTTCCTGAGATTATTGTTGTGTACATCGTCCATTAATTATGCTCACTACTAACTTTTGGCTTTAAAATTCCTACAATCTTCTAGTAGTTGCATTGCGGAAGTACTCATCAGTAGCTGCAGTACCAATCGAATACATAGAAACACAAACAGTTACTCGAGTTAAAATTTACTTGCAACAATGATTTTAGGGGAGACTCAAGAGGGCGCAACCGCTGTTGTGCGGTAAATGCCGTTTCTCTTCAGCATGACGACAACATCAACAACAAGATTGCCAGTCCGATAGAAGAAATCGTAAAAATGAGAAAAGAATGATGATCGCCGGAGGTTCTTTCTGTTTTAGTAAAAAGAGAGCGAAATAGATCACTGTATCGGTAAAAATATTAATGCAGATAAAAAGTGCTTAGTTTGTGTTTCATTAGAACGACAAGCAGGAGCAGCAGTACCAAAAGGAAAGCCCATCGCTCGTGCTGCATCAAAGCAGGCCGTTAGTAGAAAGTAACTTCCGCAACAGAAACCCACGTGCGCGATCACCATAAGCATGACACCCAAAACCCACGCTCCCCATCTGGCAAAACTGCTGCTGTGTTTCTCGTCAAGTATATTAGAATAAATGACCAATCTCTATGATACTTCTCTAAATTTAAGCTTTACTTAGTGATATCTCTTCGACGTCCTCCACTCCTGCCTCTGCCAGTCAAAACCAAAAGATACTAGTTGATAACTCTACTAACTTGCGGACCATGACCTACCAAGTGAAAGAGAGCCGAAAAAACTTTCTACACTATAATAGTCAATCGTGAAGACAAGGACAACGTATAACGAGAAGAGAACAAAGACTAATTATTCATATTTCATGAAGTATCATCATGTCAATATAGAAGTAAAACAACATCATGATCATGCCCCGAATCGGAAATCCGAGAACATGACTATTGCTGATAACGATAATCTATGAAGTAACTATATATAATGTGGGAGTAGATTTGACTGGCCTACCATCCCTTTCATTTTCGGCAGCTGATGACATGGAGAGTAGATATAAATACAGGCCATTCTTCTCGTGCTTTAGGTCTAGGTGTAACTATAATACTTAAACAGGTTCCGCGTCAGTAACTGGGCATGTGTCACTACATCAAAATCTAAAATCACTGAAAAAAACAGCAGTCCCTTCTTAACTGAAAGGAAGAGCCCGCGCTCCCGATCCACCTGCTTCTCCTGTTCTGCCAACAAGAATGCGGACACTAGACGTGGTAGGACGGATTCACCACTCCCGAATAGATAGAGAAAAGAGACCGGATAGATAAAGAATCCCCACACCAGAAAACATACTCGAACCAACCTGAACGGAATTCGAGAAGTGTTCAAGAGAGTAGCGTCTGCGCAACACGCAGCAGCAGCACTACATGGAATTCCGTCTCGTCCTGCTTCTTCCTCGTATTAGCATTAGCAGGGCTGAAGAAAAATACTCGTCTTCGTGGTTATGCGACTTTGTTCTGCCAGCATTTGTTTCACTTCGTCTACTGCGGTGTACAGTACTAGAGTTGTACTGGATACTAATAGGGCCAGTGCCACGAGATGCTGACGCGCTATCTAGATGGTAAACTCATGTTTTAGTTTTTAGAATCAGATGAGTAAGTAGAGTAAGCAATTCCAAAAAAATCCTTGAAAGTAAGATGAGTTGGAAAGATGAAAGTGAAACATTTGTATTGTTTGAGAGCCATAATCAGCGTAGACTGGCGAGGACTGCAGTTGTGCAAGGTCCTCATCAACCGAATCATACTGCTCACACCCAAGCCTCCCCATTTTCTTGCGCAGGAGCCTATTTTGCCACCTCATCCTCCAGACTCGCGTGAGTGCCTTGTCCTGGCGTCCCTTGTTTCCAGCGCCTCTAAATCTCAGGAAATGCAATCCGCCGTATATTATGCCAACGTGCGCAATCATCACAAGCACGAAACCCAAAGCCCAGGCTCCCCATCCAGTAAAATTGCCTCTGTGCTTTTCGTGGTCAAGTATTTTAGATGGTGTCTCAAAGATCTAGGATCGATGATGGTAATATTATTCTGGAATTTTAATAGAAATCATCCCTCTCGCCTTCCACTTCCAGCAGTAATAAAAAATCAGTTATTACAAAAAAATTGCGAAAAGTTTCGGAACACGAGCTGCTGGGTGGAAGACTGAGAGAAGAAGAAGTGTTTCAACAAAAGACAAATTCAAATAGGTAATAGACGGAGGGAACAGTAGAGGAAGACTTAGTAATAGTAAAACATCATCTTTGTTCTTCATCATGACATCTCGTCAATCTCGTCCTCGACATCCATGACTTGTTAATCTTAATACTAGTAGATCCTATAAACCGAAGATCTGGAAGGTCTAGGCAGCCAGGTTTTATTACATGTCCATGATGTGGTCAAATAACACCAGGTTACAAGTGGCCGCGTCCGTTTCTAGTTCTACTAGACAAGCTGTAGCTTCTACATCTACTTGAATGAATCTCATTTCTACTAGGTGGGTAGAAAATGGAGTAGATATATCTGCTCCTGTGTCGCGCGAGAGCACGGACCAATCACCAACGAAGGGACCACTAGCTCTAGCACTAGTAGGTGCATATATAATGAAAGCACAATAGTATCCAAATTCAAGAACGTCTTCAACATGACCTCCATGAATGAACTTTGTTTGGTGAAGACTTAAACAAATTAGTATCCCTTTTGTCAACATGGCCTCCATGAATGAATTTTGTTTGGTGAAGACTTAAACAAATTAGTATCCCTTTCGTTATTCTCCAGAAAAAAAAAATTCAAAGAAAAAATAAGCCCATCCTTAACGACCAAGGCTGACCCGCGCTCCCAATCTGCCTGCTTTTCAGCTCCGAATACGGATAGTAGATAGAATAGAACGAGATCTGCATTGCCGATGGAATAAAGGAAAGAGAGCGAACAGAAAAAGAACCCCGTTCCCGAAAGGAGAAAACACGCTGCTCGATTCAACCTGGGATGTTGGGATTAAGAAGATCCGAGTCGACATCAGATTGCTGCACTATTGTTCCACAACTTGAGGTCGTTAAATTGGGGGGAGATTCATCGTCCCGACACCACGCCTACGACAAAATATTATACAGTTGAGTCATGTATGGAAATAAAAACTATACTCATGCTCGAAAACCGATTTATAAAAATTTAAATTAGCTAGCAGATAGATACTTAACTAGCTAGTTAAGCTGGAGGCCAGAGGCGGCAGATTGGGTCAGCGTGGACCACGGCGTGGAGGATCCTCAGGTAGACCATGAGGGTGGCCTGTGTCTGATGATGACGAAATGCAAGGCAAAGTCGCAAGATCCTT